AAAGGGCCAGAGGACCGTGCCGGCTCAGAAGGCCCAGAAATGGTACCCCGTTGATGACGAGTCGCAGCCCAAGAAAGTCAGTACACCCTTGTGCAAAAAATACAATAAGTGAATGGTGATGGAGATGCGGTTTCTTATGAACGAGTGCGACGGTTGCGCCGGTCAATGAGCCATTTCGTGGTTGGAACAAGACCAGTGAATACGGAACTTTTGTTGATAAGGAAATCGCATCTTCGGCACTATCTACAACATCTCGGAAATTGCATGTTTGTAGACGTATAAGAACGAGCGTTCTGACATGGTTATTCTTCTATCCAAACAGGTCCGCAAGGCTGTTCGTCCCACCAAGCTCCGGGAGAGCCTTAAGCCCGGTACTATCCTGATCCTCCTCGCCGGTCGCTTCCGTGGCAAGCGTGTTGTCCTCCTCAAGCACCTTGACCAGGGTGTCCTCCTCGTCACCGGCCCCTTCAAGATCAACGGTGTTCCTCTTCGCCGTGTCAACGCCCGCTATGTGATCGCCACCAGCACCAGCATCGACATCAGCGGCGTCGACGCTCAGACCGTCGAGAAGGTCTCCACTCCCGACTACTTCACCAAGGAGAAGAAGGCCGAGAAGAAGACCGAGGAGGCTTTCTTCAAGCAGGGAGAGAAGCCCGAGGTACGTGTGCCGCGTCATTTGACCTGGATATATATGATAGATCTGGGCCGATGACCGCTCGGTAAGATGGTTTGTGGTATGCTAATTCGAGAATCAACAACAGAAGAAGAAGGTTGCCAGCGCCCGCGCCAGCGACCAGAAGGCCATTGACCAGTCCATCCTGGCCTCCGTCAAGAAGGAGAACTTCCTTGGCAGCTACCTCGCCAGCACTTTCAGCCTCCGCAACGGCGACAAGCCCCACGAGATGAAGTGGTAAACGTGCGACGCGGCGGCCGCGGGTTCGGTAGTTATTGTGGAGGAATTCATGTGAGGGGCGGCTTGAATGCGGATTGGCATTCCCAATGTGGGAAGCGCCTGCAGCACAGGAGGAACAGCTCATGAAATATGTAACTCGAGTCGGGCTCCGTCTTTGCTCATTAGGATTACGGTCAATTCGGAAAACCGGTTGTTAGTTCTGTTTCACGATCAGTCCCTCTTGTGTCGCCAATTCGCAGGACCTATAAATGAGCCGAAATGAAAAGAAAAAAAAAGAATAATACCTTTTCCAGCTGTTATATGATCCCCCTTTAACGTGCGGCTGGGAGTTTGTCATGTCTAGAATGATACGTCATCGATTTCCAGGTTCTGGTGACAATCTAAAATTGGGAATTCAAAGTTTCTGTTCAGATTCACTTTATCAGCATTCCAGATGCCGCTCTTATCTGTAATGATCTCGTGCCTGTCGACTCTCCAGCTCTATGTGACTCCGATACGATATGTCTAATACAAAACGTACAACCCGCGGGCTCCCCATGATCAAGGCTTTATAAATGATTTAGTATTTAGAAATCCAATCCCCGCCGCTCCATACACAACCCAAAAATTCATAACCGGAAGACATCACTCATCATCGGTTAGGGCACATACCCCAACCTTCTAGAACATGGCCCATATACATTCATATATCAGTAACCCTAATAATCATTCCTCCGCCTCCTCAACTTATACCGTTCATCCCTCCTCTTCCTTGTAGACTCTTCAATCGCCCGTCTGATTTGCTCATCAATCATCTCCTTCTCGCTCAAAGCCTCCTCCAACTCCTCCTCATCCTCGTCTCCTCCCACAGTAGTCCCACAAATCCAATCGAGGATCCCCCACGGGCCGAAATTCCCTTCCGCCCCACTGAGTACATGCATATCCATCCTACGTGCGATCCCGCCCAGGAAGAAGCTTGTCGGCATAACAGAGTACCCGGAGAAGGCGAATGTCTCCTCGATGGATATCACGGTGAGGTAGAGGAGGTACGTGAGCATGTGGAAGCGGAAGAGCATGGCGGGCATGTAGGTGGGGGTGAAATTGGAGAGAAGGTAGGCGAGTGGGTGGTCGTAGTGTGCTGTGAGGGGGAAGGGAGCTCGTAGAGAATGGTACCATTTTCGGTGGTATTTAGAGACTTGATAGTCTGGGGAGTGGAGGATGAAACGGTGGATGTTATAGGTTAAGATCTATTGTATTATTCCAACAATAAGATGTTAGTTACTCTGGCATTCTTTTCTGGGGGGGCGGGGTTCGCTTTGGTTCTCTTCGATATATTTTTGTTTCTTTATGTATGGGTTGGGTTGGGTTGGAATAGACTCGACTCACCTCTCTTGCCAGCAGTCCCCGCAGTAGATCTTTCACCATCTCCCAGGGCATCGGTAACTTCATCGAGACCCTCAGTGCACTCCGCATCCCAAATATTTCCGTCCGAGCTTCCTCAATCGCTGCTTGTGCGGCGAAGCTCAACCCAATATTGAGAATAGCCCATCCCGCAACCTTGAGATCCTTCATTCTGACTTTGCCCCGTTTACTTCCTGCTGGGAGGCCAGCTTCACCCTGCGCTTTTACAACAACAGCAGCGGAGGGGGTCAGGACATCGAATAGGAAAAACAGAAGCGATGGGAATAGAAAGAATAGGAGGCGCACAGCTGCGGTGCCGAATAGTTCGACTCGGAGCGGAGGATGCGACAGCACGAGGGTCGTCCATGTCATGTAAAAGAAAATTATATTGAGACTCGTACTGTAGGAGGAGATCGTGGGAACCAGGAATAGAGAGAGCACAGGTAATGAGAGGAGCGCGTCCATTGTGTGTGCTGTGCGTTGCAATGTTGACCGCACTTTTGACTGTAGGTGGTTGTCTTTTATGTTGCTGATTTATATGTTCGGCTTAGGATGCATTGTAGGTGTGTAAGGAAAATAACAGTATAAACAACCGACCAGGGTATTCTGAGATAGAACCAATTTTCAATCCAGGTCTATGGTCTATGTCATCGTCGCAATGGAGGGTCATGAGCATATATGCACTGGTGGTAGTTTTGGGTAATAAGTTGAATCCGCTTGCAGCCTTAGCGGCTGAGCGACAAGACGTCACACTCACGATCCACATGCCAACCTGAAATTTAATGTTGTTGTTGTTGTTGTTCTGCCCTAATTTAATCTGGCCCGATGTTGCCTAACGGTAATAATGCTACCACTTAACTTTATTCCATCGTATTTGACTGGAATTTCTGTAACCCAGACAGCTCATCACTTATACATCTGTCATGGCGACCGTCTGTAATTTCTTACTACGCGTCAGACTGTTTTCCGAAAGAGAAGAGAGAGAGAGAGAACAAAAAAGAAAAAAAACATTATATATATATTGTATACACTTGTACAGACCCTTTACTTTTCACCCAACCTGCCGGGCACCATGTCAGACGACAAAGTTTTCATTCCAGGGCCAAGACATCAAACATTCGAATGGCACGTGTTTAGCGTGGACCTAATGTAGGTACGGCTTAATAACACTTAATAGGACAACTCATAGACAGGAACACCAATAGCAGGTACGGATCTAAGGATAAGCGAATCAGGCTGCGTAAGGATGCTCATGGGTATCTAATCATACACCGCACAACAAAACATGTCATCTCCCAATACCACGCCTTACTCCGACGTCCGGGACGACGGGATACCGTTCTTCATGCCCCAGTTCCAGGCCTGCTTTCGGAGATCAGGAATCACCTGCAAGAAGGCCAAGCTGCTGAGCCAGCTGGTCAATGTATCGCGGACAGTAGAGTTCCTTGGGCTGCCCCCCATGGCGCTTCCCTTCATTACATGCCCAACAAACATAGTCGTAATAAGGTATTCACCTCTTTCCAGGGCTGCAATCGCTATTCTCGCAACTTCGTCAGGGGTTTGTGGCTTGTCAGCAGCCTCCAATTGTTTTGTCAACTCAGGCTTCAGCTTCTGTTCATTGTCGAAGCCGGGGCTAAGAATTCCCATCGGGAAAACCGTGTGAACCTTGACGTCGGCAGGAGTAGCATTAATCTGCGATTTTGATTGACGAGTGCCGTTATACATTTCAATCTCCTGATTGAGGGTGTCGGATAAAGAACGAATTGCGGCCTTTGCAGGAGAATAAGGTCCGTACCCGGCGATCGGTACAAAAGCCAACGTGGAACATGTAAAAATAAGATGTCTTCGCGGGTTTGTCGTCTGTTCGCTTGGAGGGACAGGTACAAGCCACTTCCTGAGTGTCGCATGGGCGGTGTTCGCCGCAGTCCAATAGACAGTGTCCATCTGATCTCTGAGCGTTTGGACTGGAGTGTCGACAAAGAACCCAGGGTTGCAGTAACCTGCGCAGCACCACACGACGTCAGGAGGAAGCCCATAATTCCACTCGGTGACCTCTTCAATGATCTGCTCGCATTGCGCGGCATTCGTAAGGTCGGCACTGATGTAATGGAACTTTTGCCTGTTCAAATTCGCAGCCGAGGCCTAAGGAAGGTAAGCATCTTCTAGCGTAGTGCATACACACATGGGCGGTTTACCTTAACATCATCAAGCGCATCTTGAAGCTTCTTGACTGTTCGTGCAACGAGGACAACGTTCGCACCCTTTGCAGCAAGCTGGCAGGCTACAGCCTTGCCCATACCCTCGGAACCACCTGTAATCACCACGGTCTATAACAAGGATGGACATGATTAGTAGTTTGTTTACGGCAAAGAGAGAGAGATCATATATCGCATACCCTGCCCTCCACGACGAACTCGTTTTGTTGGGATCCGAAACCCAAGATCTTGGGAATCATCTTGGTAACTGTATATAGGAAGAACCCGCAAAGAATGACGGAAACCCCCAATCTGGTGGGAGATAGGTCGTTAGAGATGAAGGAGAGTACTTGATGCATGGGGAAAAAGAAGATAAGGATGGGAATTCCGAGGAGATAAGGTGGGCGACTTGGCCAGACAACAAAGTTAGTCCGTTGAGGAAGGTCAATTGGGCCTGCTGCTTCCTCTTCAGTCGAAGTTCAGTTGCCGATCATCAAGATGGTTTGAAAGCCTTCAGGAGCTTCCGTACACCAAGCATGGATACAGTGGGGGCCTTCCGATTTGGTGGCATTCCGCCTGTAACAATCTGTATCGTCGATCAAACACTGCAAACTTGGCCCACATGAGACTAGTGTCTTTAAGGCGGTAAGCGTCCCGCCCAAAATTTTATCGCGGAGGTTTATCAATTCCGCAGATTTGGCCTGGACTACAGAGTAGATCAATCTCTTTTTGTCCATCCAGAAGTCAGTCATGGGGAAAAGAAAGGCGGGTGGTCGCCCGGCGGCCAGGAAAGAGTCCGCCCCAGAACGTACGAAATTCAACATCGAGGAGAGGTTTGACGACTCCGAAGATGAATTCCAGATGGGTCGTGATCAAGTCCTGCTGGAGGAAGAACCGGAGGCAAAGAGACGGCGGAAGGTGACCCAGGAAGGTTAGTCTATGCAGAGCCTCGTGGGTGTAATTGTTTTCTGACGAGGCGACTTTTTAGAGGAAATGCTCCAGCCGTCTGATGAAGAAATCATGGGCTACGAGTCGGTGGACGAAGACGACTTAGATGACGACGAGGATATGGACGAGGATGATTACGGTGAAGAGGATGAGATAGATGACGAAGAACTCTTACGTCCCAAGACAAAGCGCGGTGGTGCTGCGGGGTCTGATTCCGAGGACGAGGACGAGGACGGCATTGCTGCTTGGGGTTCATCGAGGAAAGACCTTTACAATGCGGATCAAATAGAAACAGAAGCGGATGCTCTTGAGGAAGAGGAGGAAGCTAAGAGACTCCAACAGAAGCACTTGCAAGCGATGAATGAGGCAGACTTTGGCTTCGACGAAACCGAATGGGCCGAATCTGGCAAAGGGCAAGAAGATGGGGAAGGTGATGCTGGAGAAGTAACGGAGGTTCTCCCACAGTTGGAAATCACAGACGATATGAGCACAGAGGAGAAACTGAAGATTTTGAAGTCGAGATACCCCGAGTTCGAGCCATTGGCAAAGGATTTCATCGACCTTCAGACAACACATCGCACGCTTGCAGAAGCCGCCGAGGCTGCTAAGACCACCAAAGATGCAATCCCGGAAGCCGCCCCAATTCCTGTCATCAAATTCCGTGCCCTGTCGGCTTATCTCGGTACCTTTACTATGTATCTTATGCTTTTAACATCGTCTCGTGATGCCTCTGGGAATCTGGCTTCCTTGTCCCCAGCTCAGCTTCGATCACACCCCGTCATGGGCGCCCTAGTGAAGTTCCGTAAGCTTTGGGAGTCTGTCAAAGACCTTACTGCTCCCGAAGTGTCGGATATCGAGGAAGATATGGACGGCGAAGAAGAGATATCTGTCGCACCTGTCGCCAAGCAGCAGAGCATGAATAAGGAGACACAGATTCCCAAGAAAAAGAAGGAGAAAGTCTCGAAAGCACAACGCATGGCCGAAGCAGCACAGGCAGAGGCCGAAGCTCGCAGGGCACAGAGATTACGGGAGACAGAGGCCAGTCTTGTGGACCTCTCGAATCTTGTCACCAAGCCTGGCAAGAAGAAAGCCACCCAAAAAGCTAAACAAACCTCTAAAGCTGCTGATGACTCCGACTTCGGTGATGAAGATGCTCTTACTGCTAAGGAGGCCGAGGAGAAAGCCAAGCAGAAGCGTTCTCTCCGTTTCTACACCTCCCAACTTGCACAGAAGGCAAACAAGCGCACTGCTGCTGGTCGTGATGCTGGTGGTGATGCGGATATACCTTATCGTGAACGTTTGAAGGATCGTCAGGCTCGCCTGAACGCTGAAGCCGAGAAGCGTGGTAGACAGAAGCCTAAGGAGTCTGAACAACTGGGCGGCGACAGTGACGACGAGGATCATCGGGTTGCCAATGAGCTTAGAGGGGGCCAGGGTGGATCGGATGATGACGATTACTATGATATGATTGCTGCACGTTCCAAGCAACGTAAGGATGATAAGAAGGCGCGTGCTGAAGCGTACGCTGCTGCTGCCCGTGAAGGAGGCGAGGTGGCAATCCAGGAGGAGATCAGACCAGATGGCAAACGAGCCATCACATACCAAATCGAGAAGAACAAGGGTCTTGCGGCCAAGCGGAGCAAGGACTCCCGCAATCCCCGTGTCAAGAAGAGGAAGAAGTTCGAAGAGAAGAAGAAGAAGCTGGGTAGTATCCGCCAGTTATACAAGGGTGGCGAAGGCCGTGGTGGTTATGGTGGTGAACTTACTGGTATTAAGAAGAACCTGGTTAAAAGTGTTAAGCTATAGAGTTGTCCCCTTTGTTGTTTCTTTGCGGTGTGAGTGGATACTTATAGTCCGGGCGTTCGATCTCGTGATATCAAAAAGGATTTGTGTGTACATATATAATTCATATGATAAAACCTCTGTTCGAGTCCCCTTTCCTCCCCAGTCTGGTGTCAAAACAGGCACATTCTAATGCTAGTCACACAAATTCCCTCGCTGATATAGTGAACTTATACTCCCCCATCATTGGTTTCTCCAAGAAGTATGTTTAGCATGTCACTCACAGCTTCGTCGCCCCCTTCCGTTGACAATTCAAGACCTAGAAATTTCCTCGCAAGCATGTCCTTCGATAATGTCAGTCTCTTCTGTGGTACACAAAAGCCAGAAGACAATAGTAATGCCCTACCGCTTCTTCCAAAGCGTGCATTTCCTCCACTGACAACATGGCACAAGCGGATGTCAGGTTTTCTCCACGAACAGCGAGAGATGCCAGCTCGTTTGCCCGTTCTACGATCGTCTCGTTGATTCCGTTCAGCGCCGCACAACTATCTCATCCATACATGTCAGATACAAGACCAAGACATATTGCGTATACTTGAAACGCACATTGGTCCATAGCTCTTATCGCTCCGGCCTAGGTGAAAGCTATCCCAGTATTCAGTTAGCAGATCAACTCCGTATTATACAAATAAAGTTTCGGTCACTCTGGAACGGACTTATATAGATATGTAATTTGGTCTTCCGCTTTGCAGGATTCTTCGCAAACCTGTACCTCCATATGACCGAGCAGCAGCCGGGGCCCTGGCTTGAGAAACTCATTCTCGAGTATCTCATGGAAATGTGTTGCAGCAATAACCTTCGGCGCATTCTCGGCTATAAGTAAGTGGTTAAGAATCCCGCAGATCAACCCGATACCATCTACAGCAAATATTTCAGTGTCTGATATGAAAATGGCATAAGCAAAAGGAACCGACCGCTCTCGCTGGTACCCTTGCCAAACTCATCTATTATCAACAGGCTGCGTTCGCTCATCTGGTTTAAGTCAAACGATATCTGTTGCAGATCGTTCATAAATGTGCTCTGGATCTGGAGTGGCATTAGCCTTATACGCCAATGGACACAAGCTGATTGCTTCCCTCACCTGGGAGACACTATCTTGGCTATTAGATTTAACCAGTATCTTATCTGTTATCCCCATTTCGACACTTTCGGCTGGAACGAAGCTACTGTATTCAGTTACATGTAGATGGCATGACCATGTGATTCGCTGCCCTACATACCTTCCCACTTGTGCCAAATAAATGATTAAAGCAACCTGACATTAATTACACAGCGAATCCCTTTGTTGGAAGCATCGTACTTACCTGCTTCATATAAATGCTCTTTCCAGAGTAATTCGGGCCGGTTAGTAGCAACATGCTTGGAGTACCCCATGTTTCGAGAGCTGTTTGGGATCTTGATGAAGAAAATGGAGCCCATTCACCCAACTTCCCACCAACTAACAGGGTATCGTTCGGCACATATGATGAGACAGTCAATTCTTGGAGAATATGGCTGCCGAATTGTCAGCAAGCGCCGATAAGACTTTCCCTCGCTTAGCTTTACCGGCCTCCTTTGATGCCAACTACGTTTTCACGCACTAATTTGGGGCGGGTCAGCCTATAGAAACTTGCTGCCTGTGACATGGCGAGGAGGCTGCGGGAGATCAGTCTATGTCTGTCAAGAGGACGTTGAGAGCGCTTGCCTATCAATGTGACCACATATATCTGACGCCTCAAGAAGCACTTTCTCATATTGAAGCACTTTTTGTGCTAGCTCATAGACAATCTCAATCTCTTTTTCTTATAGACAAACAAATCATCAGCATAATTTGTGCAGAGCATATAACTTAATACATACCACATATTAGCCCATAAATATCACCCAATTTCTCATCCATCTCCCTCATCCTAAAGTCTTTAAAGTATGCCCGGTTCTCTGTGACAAAAATGAGCTCCCAGTCATCATCGGAGCCAGTGAAGGCTGCCTCTCCCCTATCGCTCAGTGGGATTGCGATATTGAAGCCAAGTTGGGGGAAGTATATCACATTCACATCAATTTCAAGGCTTTCCGGGATGGTACTCGCAATATCTATTGCAACTTGCTTCAACAAACTACTTAAACCATCATAGCTGTCTTTCATCTTGTCAAGTTCCCTGTCTAGTCCCGGTTTTACCACCGTCCTACCTTGCTCCTCAGTGCTATCAATATCGACCTATTAGTCCTTAGTCGAGGCTTCTATAAGTAGGTTTAGGTTCCTTACTATCTCTTGGATCATTCGTCCAACTCTATATAGCCGAGTGTCTTCCAAAACTCGAAGAGCCTGGAAATGTCAGTGTACATATAGCGGTCAGAGTGTTATACAAACTTTCTGAAGCAAAGCTAGTTCGTTCCCGGAAGCAGTTTCTTTGAGGGCATCATGAATATCAATGCCGTAGAAAGCAAACTAACAAACTTTCAGTATTTTGCTATCTATGCTCTTACCATGGTTGACATACAGCTAGCAATGTGGCCCATACTGTACTCTTGAAGCCCGTTAGTTTTCCACTTCCGGTACTTATCCCTTTTCGAAGGTTGATCATAACGGGACGGAGGTTTTTGATATGTTTGAGACTCTTCGTAAGTTTGTTTAGCGGATTGTAATTATCTGGTCGTAAATATACGCCAATAAACGCATGGCGTTCGCGTATGACATCTATGTCTATACTTGGGCGGAGAAAAATCTGCTTAAGTTGGTGTCGTCCCTGGGGGCTATAGGCAAAGTGTTGGAATAAACCGTATACCGAAAGGCCCTCCTTCGAGGAGGATGACTTTTTTCCTGGTCCCTGATTAACCATACTTGGATGAGACTCTGACTCCATTATTTGGAGTGCTAGCAATGTTCTTCCGCTTAGAAACCTAGTATACGGTAAGATTAATGTTTTTGGTAATTTTTAAGAAACGATAACACACATTGTTCCTCGTAAGCCGAGCATTTCGACAGCGCGCACCTGGAAGTATGATGAAGTCTCATCACTGGAAGCAGATATAACCGTTGCCCTTCGCCTCTGAAGGTGAGTGAGAACGGCACCTGCACAGCCAATCGTCACTTTATTCTCCATGTCGATCGAACTGGGCATGTGTAAAAACCTGCCATCCTGTAAAGTAAAATCCAGACTCTCGGTGTCCATCTGCTCAGTATCAACTAGTCCATTGTGGGGCACGAGGAACCTGATGCGTTGCTCGTGTTCCGAAGATATCTCCAATGCCACTAGCTTGTTCTTCGCGTTGAGGTAGCTAAATTCTTGGGACGGACGAACATCGAGCTGATAGGGGAGGTAAAATTGACTACCTATTCATCATTTTATCAACCCCCAACTCTTAACCGCTAGATATTCATAGAGCTTACTGTTTCCTTGCTCATACTCGTCTATGTTTTGTGACCAGAGATGGTCGACTCGCGGTGAAAGTAGGAGTGCCGTAGGTTTAGTCTGAATGACCACTAGAACTTAATCAGTATCTTTGAAACAATGAAATGGATCATTTAACGAACGGCTATCAAGGATCTCGGTGCTAGCCGATTGCATATCTCCTAACAAATAGAGCGTCTCTTCCTGTGCCGAATAATATGAACAACCCACAGTTCCGGATTCTCTCATGTCAATGGCGACTATTACTTGATCAAGATCGTCATCAGTGAGCTGTTGTATCGGACCACCAGATAGATAGCCTCGGGAATCATTGAATAATTGTTGCCTCATCACGGGAGATCTTTGTGAGCTGGAAGGATGGTTGTATGAGGCACTAGAATGGGAAGAATGTGGTGTAGCGTTTGAGTGATATGTTGTACGTCTTTTCTTTGTTTGTCTCTTCATGGTGTTAGGTCAATAATATTTCCCGAGTGAAGTCCTGTGGTGGTTATTGTCCATGGGAAGCAAATATATCAAAAAACTACGAGTATACTAGAGCGAGGGACTTGGAGCCTAAGGCCCCGAATATCGGTCCACCGGTTTGCTTTTACTATTGTAGTGTCCAAGAAGATAGTAACGAGGATTCTGGTCAAAGTCATATACATATGTATCTAAGCCACACTATAGTAATGTACACACAAAAGCGGAGATCTCGTTAATATACATGGACATCATTAAGAGTAAAGACGTTCTCAACGCCATATTTCCCAACCTACCGGACCTGCCTGGGTTACCCAACTCCAGCAAAGAAAAGAAAAAGAATACAAGTTGATCCCAATATATTTATGGGTTTTCGGTCTCTGTCGGGTATGTTGCGTTTGTTGCGTCCTCAGTCTTTGCTCCTTTTGCAGTAACTTCAAGCCCACTTTTGTCGGCGTTGAATGAAACATGGGCGGTTTGTCCGGAGGTAACTTCACCACGAATGATTTTATCGGCCAACCTGTTGCCGATTTCCTTTGCGATCAGGCGGTTGAGAGGACGAGCACCATATCTAGGGTCGTATCCTTTTTCGCAAAGCCAGTCCTTGATCTCACTGTCCACCTGCAGAGTCATCCTCCTATCGTCGAGCCTTGATTGAAGCTCTTTGAGTCGGATATCAACAATGTCCCTAAGAGCTTCTCGAGAAAGCCTCTTGAAGATAATAAATTCATCGATCCGATTGAGGAACTCCGGTGGATATGCATGTTGTACAACATCCATGACTGCTTTCTTGGTATCAGGGGAAACTTCGTCCTTATCGGTCTGCTTGATAGTATGCAAGGGGTCCGAGCCCACAAGAATATCAGCTCCCAGATTAGAGGTGAGGACAATAAGGGTATTCCTAAAATCAACCTTATGTCCCTGAGCATCCGTGAGGAAGCCCTCATCCAAAACTTGAAGCAGCAAAGCAGATATGTCCCGATGAGCCTTTTCAAACTCATCGAACAAAAGAACCGCATACGGTTTCCGTCTGACGGCTTCTGTGAGCTGGCCGGCATCGTCGTAGCCGATATAGCCGGCAGGAGAGCCGATTAAGCGACTGATCGTGTGTTTCTCTTGGAATTCGCTCATATCAAATCTCACAACGGCTGTCTCGGTGGAAAACAAAAACTCAGCCATTTTCTTGCAGAGTTCGGTCTTTCCAACACCAGTAGGACCGAGGAACATGAACGAGGCCAGCGGCCGATTTTCTCCACTAAGGCCTGCTCTCTGCATGCGGACTGCGTTGGCTACTGCAGAAAGCGCCTCGTCCTGGCCACGAACCGACCGCCGCAGAGTGTCCTCCATCCGGATCAGTTTTTCAACTTCTCCGGCCATGAGCTTATTGACAGGAATGCCGGTAGTCCGGGAAACAACGTTCGCAATATCATCCGCTGTAACAGAGTCATGGATTAGACTCTGAGATCCTGCAACCTGCTCTTCACCTTCCTTCGGTAGCTTGGCCTCGAGACTTGGAATGGTGGAGTATCTCAGCTCTCCGGCTTTCGCAAAATTTCCTTCTCTCTGAGCCTGCTCAAGTTCGAAACGAGCACGCTCTAGTTCCTCTTTGGTACGCTTGAGCGTTTCGATTTCAGCCTTCTCTTTCTCCCAAGTCTCAGTCAATTTGGCGGCTTCTTCTTGTTTGACTTTTAAGTCTTCCTGTAGTTTTTCTCGTCGCTCACGACTGCTGACATCGGTTTCCTTGCGCAGGGATTCGAGCTCAATCTGGATAGTGGTGATGTCTCGATCCAACTCACGAATTACATCTGGCTTTGATTCTTGCTGCAGTCGTAGGGCCGAGGCGGCCTCATCCACTAGATCGATAGCCTTGTCTGGAAGGAAACGGTCGGTGACATAACGGTTACTGTAAGTTGCTGCCGCCACCAAAGAACCATCTGTGATCCGCACGCCGTGATGGACTTCATACTTGTTCTTTATACCACGCAAGATCGATATAGTGGCGGCCACGGACGGCTCTCCGACCATAATCGGCTGGAATCGTCTCGCCAGGGCGACATCCTTCTCAATCAATCGGTACTCATTCAAAGTGGTAGCGCCACAGCACTGAAGCTCGCCCCTAGACAAGGCCGGTTTCAAAAGGTTGCTAGCATCGATGCTGCCCTCTGCCTTTCCTAGACCAAGTAAAGTGTGGAGCTCGTCAATGAATAGAATCACACCGCCTTGCGCCTCTTCGACCTCTTTGAGAACAGATTTCAAGCGTTCTTCGAAATCACCTCTGAATTTTGCACCAGCTATAAGCGCGCCTAAATCTAGGGAGATGACACGTTTGTCCTTGATACTCTCCGGGACATCTCCCTGGACAATCCTTTGAGCCAAACCCTCCAAGACCGCTGTCTTTCCGGTACCAGCCGCTCCTATCAGTACTGGGTTGTTTTTCGTTCTTCTTGACAGAACCTGAATAGTTCGATGAATTTCAGCATCTCTCCCGATGACGGGGTCCAGCTTGCCGGCCTTCGCCTTTGCGGTAAGATCAACACCATATTGTTCTAAAGCCGACTTCTCCGGCTCACCTCCCAAATTCATGCGGTGAGTACCACCGGGAGGGTGAGGGCGTCCACTCGCATAATTGCGAGCCGGCGATATAGTCTGTAATAATGATGTCTTAGTGGCGATGGAGGGAAGGATCCGGGCGTGCGAAGGTAAACGTAATTGTTGAGTAGCGTGGAATGTACGGTTTGGCGATGTTAGCGCTGGGGAGCGCAACAGTCGACCTCGAGCGAGCTGCAACCTTGAAGCCATGGCTAGCAATGGGTTCGAGATTGGGAGGTTTTTCTGATTCAAAGTGCTAATCGAGGTCATCCATGCGAGAGACTATGACATGCCTATATACCCCAGCAACCCCAAGCATCGTGACGCTTCTCGAAAGCTCCACCGCGGCGGCAACGGTGAGTGGCGGAAGCTCTCCTAGAGGGCCGACGAGCTCCGTCGGGGATCACGTGCGGCCCCATCGAGGGGCTATTTGGCCGCCGCCGAAAATTTCACACCTTGAGTGGATCTGCTGCCGAAAAAAATCGGTTTCGAACACCTTCCCCCTCCTACTCTCCTATATATTACTCTCTCCCTCCCCCTTACTTCCCAATCCAACCACATATCTTTCACACATAAATCACTCGTCACAATGGGTTTCACCGATTTCGTTTCTGACGCTGGCCTCACTCGTACGTTTCTTCTTCTTTTCCTTTCATTCCCTTGAGCCCTTCTCTCTTCATTGCTTGAGTGTTATTGAAAGCTAATGTTGCCCCTCAGTTGCCAACAACTGGTTCGCCACCAGGAGCTACGTTATTGGGTACGTTTTTCTTTTTGCGTCGTCTTTTTCTTCGAACCCCATACAGCCATATGCTTCCTGTTTTATATGATGAAAAAAAATTGGTCCGTGTTTATGAGGCGGCTTAAGACCCCGCTGCAAGACTAGACAACTTTGCGAGCAATCGCGTTTCTGATCACCAGGAAAAAATTTCCCCCATATGTGCAATTTGCTGCCTGTTTTTGCTTGAAGGCCACTACAGTGGATGTCGTTATGCATTCCCTATGACTAACTGGCAACTAGCGACGCTCCTTCTCAGGCCGATGTCGTGACCTTCAAGGCCTTCTCCGGCGCCCCTGACGCCGAGAAGTACCCTCACGTTGCCCGCTGGTACAAGCACATTGCTTCCCACGAGGCTGACTTCGCCACTCTCCCTGGTGATGCCTCCAAGCCCCACACCACCTACGGCCCTGAGTCCACCGAGCTCCCCACCAACCCTAAGGACAAGCCCGCCGCCGATGATGATGACGACATGGACCTCTTCGGCAGTGACGACGAGGAGGAGGAGGATCCTGAGGTCGCCAAGAAGCACGCAGAGAACCTTGCTGCGTACCAGGCCAAGAAGGCGGCCAAGGGCCCCAAGCCCGCTGCCAAGTCCATTGTCACTCTTGAGGTCAAGCCTTGGGGTATGTAGCCCGCGCTTACTGCTCCCCCTTGAAAATACATGCTAACTGTTCTGCAGATGATGAGACCAACCTTGAGGAGATGGAGGCCAACGTCCGTGCTATTGAAAAGGATGGCCTTGTCTGGAGTGCCTCCAAGTGGGTTGCTATTGGCTACGGTATCAAGAAGCTCCAGATCAACCTGGTCGTTGAGGACGAGAAGATCTCCCTCGACGAGCTCCAGCAGGAGATCGAGGAGGATGAGGATCACGTCCAGTCCACCGATATCGCTGCTATGCAGAAGCTGTAAATGAAATGTTTATGAAGATAAATGGTGTGACGAAGGATTTTTCATGTTATCGACGGAAACCAAATTCATGAATTTAAACAAAAAACTAGCTAGAACTCGATCGGCATTGTCCGATTGTTCTGATGAAAAAATGAAAAAATACCCCAATATTAATACACCGGTATTCCATACCAGTAAAACCATATCTCTAGGATATGCTGTTCTCGATGCTTGCACGAATTCAATCAATGTTCGGTGGTGAGCTTGCAATGGTGCCCAACTTGCCTTGGGCTTTTAGTGAACGTGGGGTTTGTGGGAAGGACCAAACGTATATGCACAAGTGGTTTCTTTAGACCACCGTAGAAGCTAGACTGCTCCGGAATATCGTTACTAAGCTTTGCTGGTACCGACGCTCAGTCACATCAGAACCATCTGAGTCCTGATAGCTCATTACTTGTCAATTGATCAAGTTGCGCTGGGTGACCATGGGGCTTATCTCACGTTTGGTGACGTTCTTCGGACTCGTCCTCCTTGCCCATGCGTGAGTACCGCAATTTCTCTAGCAAAATATAATCACCTTGTTATTTTCGCATCAGAATCGCTTACCAAAGTTCTTGGGCAAACCAGGGGTTACTCTGCACATGAACATACGGTCTTGTACAGCAATGCCCGTCTCTCCGCGTCTACCGCTCTTCCGCAGGATATCGTCATCGAAGCTCTAGTATCCCTCGTTCTCGTTTCCGTGGGCCTAGTGCTGGGCGCGCCTAAATTGAAGCCGATTAGCTGGAGCCAGTGGGCTGGGGAGATCGAAAAGGAGGGTGGTGGCAGAAACCCCTACCGGAGGCTGGAGGAGAGATATAACTTCTGGGACGTGCGGGTAGGTGCTATATTCCCTTTCCAATAGAGAGTCTAGCCTTTAAGAACATACTTCTGACGGCACCAGGGCAAGCGGAAAGAATTTGCGGATTGGATCAAGGGCGAGAATCCGCTAAAGGAGTGATCAATATTTTGATATAGAAATCTGTCTGGGATGATGCCTTGATGTATAGTTATATCAGTGAAGAGTAATGAATAAGTGGTTGCTCCTCGGTCTGCGTTGCTATTCTATTACATTGCTTCGGGTCTGATAGTTTGGACGCTGGCTGCCATCTGACTATGTGTAGAGTAGACAAGGGGCGAGATGCAGTTCCAGGGTGTCTGGGGTCGTGGACTCGGGGAGCGCTTCCTTGTATGTGGCGTCTGCTATTTCTCTATTGAAACGATGTCCTGGCCCTACCTAAGAGACTCTCTGCCATATCATCCAATATTCCGAGTACAACAGGAATAGCCGACTGACTGTTACAATGCAAACTACTTGAGTTCACTCCAGGTATGACAGACTCTCTGATCTGTTCAAGCCTCAGAAAACCAGCATTGCATCTTTGGTTCTCCATAACTCCTTTAATGCGTTCAGCAGCTAGATTATCAGCAAGGGCTGATAGGTCCTAGAACATAGAGTCATACACTAGCCCTAACGATGCCCTGGTCATCTCCCAAACACCACACTCCCAGTTGGCCGCAATCGATCATCCAAACCACCACCCAAAACACTATAATACCTCCATGTCAGACAAAAACACTACATTAAATCCCCTACCTCAACACCCCATCATACAGTATATCAAAATCTCCCCCGAAACCAGCAGATAGCAACTCCGCCCCCCCGAACGGCGGCACAAACCGAAAGGAAATGGAGCATGTCTCAAATCCCCCAACCCACATTACCAGCATTACAAGAATAGAGGGCCAAGCGAGCTCCCCCCGAAGCTCCACAGAGATGTCCATTGGTCATGTCATCTTCTCCCATGGCACACGAGCTGATCTTGTGTTGCACTCACCGTCAACAACCTGGGTCTAGTAAGTGACTATTGATATTCTACGAGGACACTATGTATCTTGTGATCAGCAGGTCGGTTTCACTCTGGGACTTGGGCTGTCGTTTCCCCCCGTCCGTTAGATGCTAGGTTCAAGGCACTGGCTTTGCTGCTGTGTACTTGTGGGTGAAGCTGCGAGGGTTGGGATATTGGAGGCTTCTCATGAGCATTCCGGGCTTATTTAGATGGCGATGGATCGTCTCTCTCTCTCTCTCTCTCTCTCTCTCTCTGTGTGTGTGTGTGTGTGTACTGTGCCGAGGAGATTCTTGGTGTCTATTTGATGGAGTGAGCTGCTGCGAGAATAGTGGCTCAGTGTGGCTCTGCGTCTTTTCTCTACGTTGCGATCTGCGGTTGTTTCTCGCTCGTGCTCCAAACTGTGGGGACGTGAACGTTTTCGGTTGATGTCGAGATGGAGTACCGATGCTGATGGGTAGAATCGCCAACAGAAGTAGGTGTAGGGAATAGCCAAACGCCCAGTAGACGACAGGCCAATGGGAATGGAGGGAGCAAGGACAGCCTTGTAGGATGGGATTAGCCCCCAAGACTCTATAGACCTACAATGAGAGGAAGTACTGTATACAAGGGTATCGCGGTCAATCCTTCCACCCTACCGGTTCTTACCCAGGTGTATCAAGACCGTTGCGATATAAACGTTGTAATGACAGGCACCGGCACTGAGAAACAAACATGAACTCAACCCCATCATGTGGAACCTCAGGGTCACAGGAGCCACCCCAAGACGCACGAGCTGAGTAACAAAGATACATAGAAAGACGGGCCAAAGTCGCATGAGTGGTAACTATGGGGTACGTGTGACTGTGTGTTCCACATACTTACTTCTCTTACCCAGAGAAATGATACAAGTAGTCGTCCCCATAATAATATTATCACATAAATTGCCAGACTCCACCCATGCGGCAGGTTGATGGAGACGACATGGAAGGTGGACGGAAACCGAACAATGGCAACATCCTATTCCAGAATCGAAGAAAGAGGGGGTTTCCAAAGTCTCCAAAGTAAAAAGGAAAGTAGGGAACCTTTCATTATTTAGCCTTGTTTGGGATCTCTGTGGATATAATGACCCTTTGCTCCTCATTAACCGAGATTTATTGTGACAGTCTTTACCCTTGCATTTGCCGTTGGGCTAATAGAGAGCCTGGCCATTTACTTGGCAACCTTTTCTTTTTCCTTTTTTTTTTTTCTTCCCACAGGGGGCTTTTCTTGGTTCAGACTTATTGGTCCAAAGGTTGTTTGTATTACAACGCCGCGGGCCCTGTGTGTACGTACTGGTTGGTACCTTACGGGAGGGAAAAAAGAACTTTGGTTCTGGCCCTGGTCGCAATCCAATCCATGTCTTGGATGGAATGTGTTGATCGGCACTGTCAGTGTCAAATGGTCGCTGCGTACGTAGACCGGTAGACTAATTTTAATTGTACAGGGACCCGAATACAGAGAGATTTCTCTCTTCCCTTGGTATGACTTGGTCGTTCAAAGTCCAGGGACCCTGGACATGCTTCGGCAATGAACGAAACGATGGCGAGTGTTGCGGGAGTGAAGCCATGACAACCTGATCCCATTGAATGAACGTGTGGACGGTCACAACAGCAAAGGGTGTTACACCAGTAAGGTTTGAATCGGTGGCGGTACTGGGCAAAGATCGAGGCTTGAGCCTCGAACGTACTGGAACCTGTACACGTATGGTACCAAGTCCCCATCGCACCATGCAATTCCCCATTCCCGACGAGAGACAGTGGTGGTGGCTTGACTCAGGTTGAAGGAAGTAGACACGGGAGGCTGAGACCATGCCCCCGGTGACTAAACTGGTTTAGGCATGAATTAGATTATCGGTCGTCCCGTTTCTTGGTCCATGCGGATCAGACATGGGACATGGTGCATCGGCCGGTCGTCTTGGGGAGAAGTCTTGTTTGTCACTAGGGGAAGAAGTCGTCCAAACAGTCTCTCCCCTACGGATATCCTCCTCGTAATTTTGGTTACAGTCGTTGGCTTTGGTCCAGGGCTAAAATAGAAGAATTGACTCATTACGTGTGCTGTTGATGACGAGTGAAGGATCTGACTATTCGTCTAGGGAGGGGATCTATTGGTACCTACGTGGATAGGTATTATTTTCGTGGACGGATTTGAATACCGATGTACTCCGGATACATCTTTTTGTTTCTCCAGCACCTGGTAGTCAGGAAGTCAATAAAGAGAAGTGATGAAGGTGGAAAATGAAAAAAAAGGAAATAAAACAAAAGAGGGAAATTATGAGACAAGGAAGGGAAGGGAAAAAAAAATGGAAAATCAAAAATCAAAAATCAAAATCAAACCAAAAATGAACCAGAGCTTCGCCTGATTCTACCTTCTTTGATGGGACTGTTAGAATTGTATAGCTGCCCGATCTTATTGGTCACGGGCCGGCAAGGCAGTGGATCCCGCAGCTGACGATGTGTTGCGGTGGCCACCAAAAATAGTATGAAGCATACGCAACCTCCAAACTTTCGAGATGTGTACTGACTATGTAATATGGTATGCGGAGGAATCCTCACCAATAACAGGGATTCGCATTGGATTCTCATTACCCGATTATTTTAATCCTATTGACAGGGCTTAGGCCCAGGATGCCGTAGACTCAGTGTCTGGCCTCACAAGGTTTTTTTCCCAGCTGGGAGACTGCTCGGGAATGATGCTTGAATTGTGACTTTCTCTGGGCTCAGCACCGTGCCTTTTAGGCCTACCCTTGTTTTTAGAACAAGTGGATCCCGAGATGCAGATACGATTGCCACTAAAAATGCAGACAGGGCTGACGGGGAGGGCGATTTGACACCTAATAGATCCTTATTTTGGAGTCAAGTATTCACATGTGGTGATTGTCCACTATTATTGTTATTATCGTTTCTTTTTTCCTTTTTATACTTTTTCTTTTCTTTTTCCTTTTCTTTTTTTTTTTTTATTAAAACAAAATTCATTTGATTGACTTGACTTACCTATTATTAGTGTTCATGGATAGTTCCTTCCTTCCTTATTAATTAGGATTATAATTATTATCCTTCTTATTATTTATTACCCCGTCCTTCTTGTCTATTTAAAGACCCCCCCCTGCGCCCTGTCATTCTTTGTTTGACCCTTTTCTTTCCCGGAGTAATATAAAGGAACCCATACACTCGTTTCCTATTCCTTCCAACAACTACACTCGCTTGCCATCCTCTGCGTGTCATCGTCTGATCATCTCCACACCCGGTTCCCTACCAACGAATTGATCAACATATTTACTTTAAAACATCAAAATGCGTGCTACTTTCATCCTCGCTGCCTTCGCCGCTGTGGCTGCTGCCCAGTCTTCTTCTGCTGCTGTTGTAAGGACCATAATTTGTCGCATCACAGTTGTCTAGTATTCCACAATGCTAACTTGAATTTCGCTCTAGCCTGAGGATGCCTCTGGTGTCGAGACCACCGGCGCTGTTGAGACTGGCAGTGTCAGTGCCACTGCCACTGCCACTGGCGGTTCCGAGACCGGCTCAACTGTCATTCCCACCGTCACCTCTCAGCCCGTGATTCCCTCTGGAACGGCTACAGAAGCCCCCACTACTCCCACCGCCAGCGGTGCTGAGTCCTCCGGTGCTGTGACCGGCTCCAGCTCTGCTGCTGGCTCCTCTACCCTCGTTACCAAGTCGAGCAGCGCTGCTAAGAGCTCCTCTGCCACTGCAACTGAGACCTCCACCAAGACCAAGTCGACCGATGAGTCCACCAGCACCAAGGGCTCTTCCTCCAAGTCTAGCTCCGCTGCCTCCAGCACCTCTGAGGGAGCTGCCGTCCCCATGGCCACTGCTGGTCCTCTCGGTCTCATTGCCGGTGCTGCCATCGCTGCTCTCCTGTAAATGGAGAGCTCGTGATCCATTCAACGCTTGGCCATTGATAATATCGCTTCCGTTCTCAAGCATCAGTGTGCTCCCCAAGCGGACTTGTGCTCCATGGACCTCCCCCTCCAACCGTCCCAGCTACCGGGGATGGTGGAACGATAAGAGATGAGGCATACGGATACTGAGGTTCATTTCCATACTCCCATATGTATCATTGCCGGGAAGGGCTTTTTATTCCAATTTCCTTTCTTTTCTCGTCTGACTTTAAGTCGCCGCTGTTACACAAGACACGCTTAATTTTCGCCGCGCACATATCAAACTTGTCTTTCTTCAAGGTTTAATCATAATACCATAATGATGCTACGCTACAGGTAAATAGGAATTCCATGTTCTGAGGAAATCCGTTATGACAAATTGTTCTGCTGGACTACGCTTCATGCCACCTGTAGATCTACCTGTAGTGCTAAGCTTTGTTGACAAGTATTTTCAGACACAGATGCAATATTGGATCTAATATTCTCAATTGTACACCAATTGGTCATCTTTCTGGAAGAAAATTAAAAGTAACGGGGTATAGTTGATGTATGTCAGCGATCCAAATCGAAGATACCACCCAAGATAGGAGAGAAACAACAATACTGGGAAGGAGAAGTGGGCCTGTCCAAGTGGACCAGGTTAACATGAAGCGTAGATAGCTTAATAACCAACCTATGTTATTCTAGAACGACGATCTCGTCCGAGGAGGCAAATATGTGTCCAACTCTAAAGCGACTCCAACGGTGTGATGTGCTATTCTCGTAACTAAGCCATGAGATGTCAACTCTCCTCACACTGTACCTTATTTTTCAAGGGGCACTGGCCTTTACTGAGGGGTAACCCACTGTGTACAGAGTACTCCGTACATCACCAGCGTTTACCTTCTTATGACGGATGCCATTTACAGCTACCAGGTCTTCCCACTTGATGAGAAATGCCAATAAAGCCCTATTTGAAGCAAAGCGTTCGTGTGTTGAACATGATGTATCTAGAGTCGAGAGATCATAAAGCATGTATGTACATGGACATACTCCCACACATACCCCACATACATATACATATATCACTTGATTTCAAACCAGCATGTCGTCGGACAAGTTTCGACGCAGGTCCCATTCCGGAGGGGTTTGACAACCTGTCAGGGCTGCCAACCCCCTAGTATTAAGACCGTACAGATAATCCTTAATGACAGAGTGAAACCCAAGAATGTGTGAACCCACTAGTACATCAACTGGAACCACTAGTATCCATTCCATGTACGGGGTCAATATACAGGTACAGATAAAAGAATACCAGGTACGATGATATAAGATGTGTAGCATCCTCCGTACCAAATCAGGAAACCAACCAACCCAATAACACTTCCTAAAACGCGCAAAGCGACGCGTCAGTCACATGATGCTCGCGTTTTGTTTGTGAGCCATGGAATGACCCGTATCAGGTCTAGTGCCGTCAGCTTCACATCATCAAAACAAAAGAGGGCTGTTGGGGGCAACCAAAAGTTTGGGTCCATAGCCGCAATTTGTTAAACAAGTTCAGCATTCTTTTTCTTTCTTGGGGAAGTGCGGTTACTCCGGTAGCTTTTTCCTATTGACAAGGGTATCCCTTCATTGGTCTATCTTTTGATTGGGGGAGTATAGTTGGGTACACTATTTGTTCTCCAGTGAGCAGAACGCTGCAACGGATTTTGAGCCTGTGAACTCAGGGATAAAAGAAAAACACAAAAAAGAATGGTGAGCTATTAGTGTCAATCCCCAAACAGCTAGTCTGCAAAACACCTCGGATCTAATCATGCATAAAACGACCAGGTTTCGGGTTTAAAACGTCTCGCTGCAGACCATGCCGCATTGCATGATGACCTGCCCCCGAACTATCTCTTCCCCTCGGAGGACTCATCGAGCGATGACCTCACTCAACTTACGACCTGGCTGGCTGGCCCGCAGGGGACACCATATTCACAAGGCCTATGGCGCGTCCACTTGAAGATGCCGGATGATTATCCTAAAAGTCCGCCGAAGGCGACCTTCAAAACCCGCATATGGCATCCCAATGTGGAGGAATTGACGGGCGCCGTGTGCGTCGATACACTGAAGCGGGACTGGAAGGCGACTCTAACACTGAAGGATGTTTTAGTTGTGAGTGTGCACCATCTCTGTGAGGGGTCTAATTAGACCGAGGAGCTAATGAATTGCGGCGGCGCGCGTACAGACAATCTCATGCCTGCTTATTTACCCGAACCCGGACTCTGCGTTGAATTCTGCGGCCGGAGCTTTACTTCAGGAGAACTACGAGGCTTTTGCGCGACAGGCTAAACTAATGACATCCATTCATGCGCCAGTGCCAACGGACTTGAAAAGTGCAGCAGCGGAGGCGAAGACCAAGGGAGAAGATGCCGGAACGACGATCCCGGAGCAAGAAGAACCTCGCCTGTTGCGCTCAAGGAAGGGCACTAGAGTTCAATCTGTGACGATGAAGAAGAAGAATACCCGGAAGAATGGAGAGCAGGCATCATCGCGATCACAGCGTGAATCCGATAGTCCGGAGACAGAGCACCCTGCCGAAGAGCAACCGGCAGAAATTCACCATGAGGCCGATTCAATACTCTCAGACGACGAATCTGAAAACCTCTCCAATGCCAGCAAAGAAAATGATCCAACACTATCGCCGTCCCCGGTCAAATTTGCTCCACCGAGCCCCAGGAAAAATGCCCTTGGCAAACGTCCCTTGTCCGTCCTAACGCTGCCTCTAGATACAGACCCCTTTGCGATGGATCCAGACGACAGTGACCTGGAGGGCATGACAGCATCTGAGAAGAATATCGCAGCAAACAATTACGGTGGCAGCCCAGAACGCGATCCTTCTCCACAAAGAAAATCGCCGAAGCTGTCCGTCCGTAGTAAAGGGGTCAATGCATCTGGACGCATACGGGAAGAAGTCAAGATATTCGAAGATGCTCCGGAGCCGCTTGAATTGGACCGCTGCCATAGCGGGGACGGCAAAGAGAACCATGGCTCCCTAGCCGGTCCGAAAGGGCTTGGTCTTGCTTCCAGAAAAGCGCTTCCTACTTGCCCTCCAACTTCACTCGCTCTGCCCTCCACATCTGCCCCGTCCAGTTCAAAAGCCCCAAAGGCGGTCTCTGGTACGCGAAAAGTATCCGGGTCCAATATGAAAAAGGCGAAACCACGTATAGGCATTCGCAGGTTATGATTGGATTCATGGCTGAACGTCGTCATTTGTTTTTCTTGGTATACTTGTTTGATTCTTTTTGGCGCAGAGAGGCAAACGGTTGGACCTGGCGTTTGGGTTGAAAGGGTCAGCGTTGTTGGCTGCATCGGTCTTTCTAGAATTTTGCATATTCGTTGGAGAACCTATTCCGGAATCCTTGGATTTTTCATGATACATAATAACTATGGCCGTAAGGTTACAGTACGGGTGTCACTTTTGATATATTTAATAGACAATTGTTTTGACGAGCACTGTTGACTATGGACGCTACTGCTACTTAGTACTTTCTTTGCCCCAGCTGACAATTGCAAAGTGAAGAGACTATTAGTTATGCGAAGCCGCTCGTTTAGTAGCAAGTTATGCAAACATCTAAAACGAATAGTCAAATTTTCCTTTAGGCTCCTCACGATCGATTTTTCGATCCATACTAATAATAATGGAGACCCCTATCTCGTAACATCCGACCCCTCGATCCCGACTGTCGGGAATCTTTGGCTCTTGAAATGGTTCCTCGCGCGAGGAATAGTATACTTCCCCCAGGAGTAATGTTGTGACTGATATAAAAGGCACACAACAACCGGTGCAGTGAAACATTCCTGCAAGTTTGGGAGGCTCATAGCCATTATAATGGAGATAACAAACTAACACGCTAGACTAATTAAAGCAATATTACCAGAAGAAAGAGGAGGGATCCACAACGGTCCACCGTTTGGCACCTGGCGGTAGCAAATACGATGGTACTGTATGACAGCCAGTGTATATCAATATACGACCGTTGTGATAGGTCTGCCAACCAGGCCAAGATCGGCTTTCGTAAACATGCGGACACGTGTTTGGCGGCGCGACGTTTGAGTCTTGCGCTTCTACAGAGCGTAGGGGTTCACAGAACGAATAGTGAGACAACTAAGACATTGTTAGTAAATGCATATACCAGAGACAAACTAGGAAGCACATACGGAGGGCTCTTGGACAAATCGGTCTTCAGGATGATGGGGACCCGGGTCATCTCAGTGACATCTTGGATATACTCGCCGTCCTCTTCCCTGAGCTTGAAGAGCTGTAGGTACTTCTCCTTGTTGGTCAGTTTCGCCTCGGGGGCATCGCCACTGAGCGTTGCAATCTTGGGATCAGAACGGGTTCTGTGGGGCGACTGCTGAAGATGACCATTGCGAGTAGGGGAAGGCGGCATGCTCTGGGTCGAGCGATCAGCAGATGAGTTCAATGAAACGCCTGCAGCCATCTCAGTGACCTCGGAGACGTCATCGTCATCATCGTCGAACAGGGCATCCACGTCGTTGGTGGAGATAGTTCCGGTCTCAGTCTGCTTTCGCATAGCCTCCTCCCTCTCACGAGCACGCTCTCTCGCAGCTTCTGCCTCACGTGCAGCTGCAGCAGCCTGGGCAGCCCGGGAGTTGGCGGGCTTTGGACGTTCATCCTCAGGGATGTATGCGGAGGACGGGACACCCTTCTCCCAGTAGAGTTCCAAGACACGGGAGTCTTTGCGGAACTCGGCCTTCTTCAAGGGCAATTGGTCACAGTGGACACGCTTCTCAAAGCCAAACTCCGGAATGAGGACATCAAAAGCGGACTCATAGACGCAAAGGACAATACCCTCACTGATGAGGTCACCGCCAATCTCCTGTCTCTTCTTGTCCATGTTGCGGCACGCTTCGATGTGAACACTTTGCTCCTGAGCATTGTGCGCGGAGTCCTTCTTGTTGTTGCAGACGTCCGCAGCCTTGTTTAGGGTCTCAATATCGTCAGAGAACTCAACAGCACCGTTAGACAGAATGGATTCCAATTGGCGATGAACAATGATATCCGCATAACGGCGAGATGGGTTGGTAAAATGAGTGTAAACTGGCAGGTTGAGAGTGTAGTGATGACGCTGCTCGTCTTGAACGCTGCCGGCGACATAGTATTTGGCACGCTGCATAGCCTTAACAAAGAGTGTTTCCATGCCCTGGGTGACGTTAGTAGGGCTGTGTTATACAAGAAAAGACACAATCCGAAGAGGAATTTGCTCCTTATCGGTGTACGAAGAGAACCCACCTTGCGCAAATCATCGTCCTGAACCTTGCAAAGACTGCTCTGCAAGGTACCACTGCTTGTCGAGTCCAAGGCAAATCCAAGCCTGTTCATCCGATCAATGAACGAGTGGAGGCGACGCACATTAGGCGATGGCTGGCGACGGAGGAATGCCTTTTCAGGCAAAGCAGCCACCAATTTACGAGCAACGAAAAAGTCTGCTTTGTGACTCAATTCCTCCACGATGTCCCGCACAGGAGAGGAGTTGAAGATATTGTATTCAACGGGGACGTTCTCATCATCCATCTGATGGAGCAGTCGCAGAGGAGGTATACGCGCGACACGGTTGCCGAATCTCGCTTCGCGGAATTTGGAGGCCATGGCCTACAATACTGTTAGTCAAGAAAAGGGACTACCAGCCGGACAGGTGAGCATTAGAAAAATACTTACATATAGTGCTCGAAGGGTGTCAGCCTTTATTTCAGGCACAGAGAGATCCGCAGCTCCCTGAACCACGGCGTCAACCTCCTCATAGCTCAGTCTGCCAGCACTCTTGATAATGCCCTTGCCGATCCAAACATCGTCGTCAATAGCACCCGTCTCCGGATTAGCCTTTAGCACGACACTGACTGTGAGGCGGTCCTCTCCAGGAAGCAAAGAGCAGAGCTCGGTGGAGATGCGCCGCGGCAGCATGTTGACTAGTCGGTCGACGAGATAGACAGCAGTGCCTCGTTTCTTTGCCTCGCGGTCAACTAGAGAATTGCCCTTCACGAAGTGAGCAATGTCGGTGACATGAATTCCAATTTCCACTTTACCGTCTCCAAGAGGCTTGAAATGGTAAGCATTCTCGAGCTCCTTGGTGCCACTGGGAACGATGCTGAAGGTCGTTTCTTGACGGAAATCTCGCCGAGAGGCGAGGAGAGTCTCACCCTGGCTAGAAACGGACCAATCCTCCCACCCAATACTCTTGAGGACAGCATCAGAAAACTCATCAGATCCGAAGTTGTTGTCACGGAGGAGCGCCTCGGTTTCGACCTTCAAGTCACCCATTTCACCCAACTGCTCAACAAGGGTTCCGAAAGGATGCAAAGATGTGATGGGCCACCGCTTAATGCAAGCAACAAAGATGCGGTTGGCGTAGTCCTGGTGCTTCTCGACGAAATCGCGGGGCGCCTGTTCCGTAGGGATGGCAATCAGGGGAACACGCTTATCCGTGGGCTTAAACCAGACAATCTTCGGTTTATCCTGCTGGCGCTCATGTTGCGAACGGCCGTGGGGGCCGTCTCTGGCCAGCCGTTCAGCCTCTTGTTTCTCCTTCGTCGCCTGGCTACTGGGACGGAGGAGTCCGAGGGTGCCCGAAAACATCTGTCCGGCGATGCGTTCAATGACAGCAACAACATGGCCCGCGAATAGCGGCTTCTGTTCATCGCTGATCTCGTCTTCCTCGACCAAGAGCAGACTTTGGCCCTCCACTTCGACATCATCGTTCTTCTTTTGCGTTGGGCGCTGACGGAGACTACCACGCGACGAATGCTGCCATCAGGACCGACCTCCTGGCGGTCTCCATTTGCGCCAGAATCAGAACGGGAGAGCTTATCAGTTCCAGCGTTGCTACCAGCTCTAGCATCTGTAATGTCTTTGCGCTTCTTCTTCTCTTCTTTTTCTCTCTTCTGCGACCAGACCTCATCCACATCCAGGAGTTCAATGGCCACGTAATCACCCTCAAGTGCACGGTTTCTGTCTTTGCTGCCACAGATGAAGATATCAGCATCCAAATCAGGACTTGTGACATACGCATCAGACCGATTTTTCTTGTTGACCCGCAGGATACCGGCCACAAGTTGGCCATTGCTCAACAAAGCGGGCAGGTTAGCCTGAGGTAGGTATGGGGTGAATAATGTCTTCCGCTGTTGTTGTTGCTGCTGTTGCTGCTGCTGGGCAGACAACTGAGGAGGGGCGTGCTGGCTAGCCTGAAGACCAAGTCCTTGACCGTTAAGCTGGCCATTTTGCTGAAGTGCTTGAAGCTGTGCAAGCTGCAACGGGTTCAGCTGCTGACCGCCGCCAAACATCTGCGGCGGGGCCATGACAACCTGTCCCTGAGGTAACTGGATGAGCTGTGGCTGTCCAGGATACTGGAACGATCCAATAGAGCCGATGGACTGATTCATCGATGCACGTGCACGGTGGCCAGGCTGGAAACCACTGCCCTGTTGTCCGAAACTCTTCTGCTGATCCTGACCCTGATTCTGATTGTTTGGTTGGCGCCAGTTGCCATCGAAGTTCCTAGATGAAGTACGAGCATGACCGCTTCCACGGCGTGGGTTTTCTGACTCGTTCGATGGAGGAAATTGGAATCCACCAGCACCGCGGCCAGAAAGTGAGCCTCGGTTGCTGCCCACAGCCATAGATTGGCTCCGACCATGACCGCCAGCTCGAATGTTGCCGGCCCGGTGAAGACCCAGGCCCTGAGGGCCCGGTGCCGTAGAAGCAGTAGACTTGTCGTCAGAACCTGCTGCATTATCGGATGACTCAGTTCCAGCACCGGGGGCTGGGAACTGGAACCCAGACGCTGTTCTTTTCTGCTGAGCGAGTTCTGCGGCCTTTTTAGCTTCAGGCAGGGCAAGCGAGTGACGTCGCTGGTGGCCGCCACCCGGAGGCCCCCCTCGACCACGACCGTGACCTCCATTGTCGTTCTTCGGCTGGTTGCCCTGCTGCTGGTTGTAGTCAGAATACCCTGAAGCCCCGGAGGACGGGGCTGGAGGGGGTCCCATGCCCAAGCCAGGGAGGGCGGACTGGTTGCGGCGATGCGAGTGTTGGCCGGGGCTGTTCATTGGAACACCAAGCTGTTGCTGGGCAATTTGGGGGAATTGGAAGGAATTGATCTGAGGGGAGACTCCGCCCATAGACGCACCCCCTTGAAGTGAAGGAGAGAACGCTGAAACCTGACCCAACTGTTGAGGCTGTAGGAGTCCCATGTTAACATACTGTTGATGAGTAGCAGCGATTTGTTGTTGTTGCTGTTGAAGTAGCTCAATTTGCTGCTGAATCGCTAATTGTTCCACTATTGTTACCATGGTCGTTAGCGAGCCGACCTGGAGTTATGAAGTTGGGAAAAGAGTTGGTTTTGTTCACACGTACTCATGAGGGGAGTTAGCTCTGATGGACTCCTCCGATGAGCTATATGAAGCTTGCGACCAGCGGGGCCGGGAACTCCGGATTGACCCTGTTGATCCATCTTCCCGGATAAATAGAGAATGGATTATGTGTGTAGGAGATGGATTCTCTGCGTCGAGGACAAGAGAGCGTTCAAGGATGACTCGTAAGGAGGCTGTCTACCACGCAGGCCGACCGCAGGAAAAAGTTTGGAATGGAGAGGAATGGTTATTCAGTAGTATACTAGACAGAGAAGCGATAGGTCAGTAGGTGCGGGGGTATCGAAGGAGCAGGACGAGGGCGAACGAGAGAAGATCACAGCATGTTCAACAAAAGGAGTGCGGAAGAGGGAGTAGAGGAGCTGTCGTGGACAGGTGGAAGCTGCGATGGTGTCATGACAGTTGCCTGGGCTCGAGATAGGGTCTCTGGAAGAAGCAACAAAACAAGAGAGGAAAGAGGCAATGCCAGAACGTCGGTGAATAGGAGGTTGTTCATGAGCACGAGTTCATTCAGATTTCTTACCTGTTCAATGATCGTCCAACGTTTAGGATTGTTGCTGAATGACGTCTTTTTCTGTCTCGCCTCCTTTCCCCTTTTCGCACGAAGCGGGAAATGCTTTTTTATACAAGTGAAACAGTGAACCCGCAGTAAGAAAAAAAAAGGCAAGAATAAAAAAGGGATCCAATGCCGAAAGAATCCACAAGAAGAAACAAAATATATTCAATCAAAAAACGATGTTGGGACGGGCGAAGGCCGGAGGAATTGCCTCTGAATCAAGAGACCGAAGGAGAGGATGAAGCTTGACGAATGGGGGGGTTTGGGGGAAGGAAGCAGAGAGGGGAACCGAATAAGCGGATGGGAAAGCTGACGGTTGACCCCCAATTGCCATACAGGCCACACCACGGTCTGAAACCCCCAAAAAAACTTCCGCGAAACAACCTCGAGAATTTCCTGATTTTTTTTTCTCCTTGTGCGATTACTGATGTTATCGCTCGATTGCTTTTTGGATTAAACACGTTTTCTTCACTGATGTGGAATGTACGGAAGAGATCGGGGTCTCTCCTAAATAGTCCAGATATGATGAAAAAGGGGGCAACTCAGTCTGAAGATCAGAAGCTGTTGCGTTGGCGTCTTTCTGTTATGAGGACGATACGTTCATCCCCTGATCGAAAGATTGATACGGTCAAGTAAACTTTTCTCGTAGTGGACCAAAATATACGAGGCAGAAGCACGAAGTATCTGACCACAGAGAGGGAATGACACAGACGAATGATCTGATAGAATCAAGAGGTGAACAATAATTGACAGTCCTGAAGGAATGATGGGAGAAGTTGCTATCAGAGGAAAGAGGGAGGGGTGAAATCAAAGAAGAGAGAAGGAGGGAGATGAAGGGAAGAAGAGGGTAGAGGAGAAAGAAGATGAAGATTGACGAGAGAATGAAAGAATATGGAGCTTAGTGTACGACTTTCCTTAGTAGTGGTGTTGGTAATGGTATAATGGGAATCAATCAGATCAAGTGAACAATACCATCCATACAGTAGGTATACCCTACTGCGTATAGAAGTACCCCAAATGGTGATGTGGGGGAAAATACGACAAGACAAAAAAACAGCAAAACCGTTGAAAAAGGTAATCAAAACAAGCGCTCATCGTACATCCTAGCTATATAGACTAATGGAGGGCGTAGAATAGTTTTATGGTTTACCTAGGGAAGAAGGCGATTTTTTTCTCTCTCTTTTACCTGGTCTATTTGTTGATGATTCTCCCATCACCATAATCGTTGGTTACGATGGATGATAAGGGTAGGAGGTAGGAGGCAAAAAAAAAGAGAAAACTAGTCGTTGACTTGAGCTTCCTGATTTAGCTTGTCATTAGGTATTAAGGCAAAGTTACCATAACTGCAATACCTAAGGTTGGTCCAATGGTTTAGAAGTGGTTGCATCTTGGTTCGCTCCTGTTCGTTTTCTTTCCTTTTTCCCTCTTTCGTCCCTTATAAGAAAACCTGGAGGGAAGATTCGTACTATCAATATACGCGAGGAAACATACCACATGGGGGATGAGAGAAGATTTAAGCATAACCATTCTCATCCTTCTAAAATTAAAATCCTCCCCCTACAATGAGCCGCTTGGGTGCATCTTCAAAATCAGGAGACCGTTGTATTACCTATTCATAGTAGGGTACCTTGGGTGATCTCCAGTCTTTGCTCACTAACCTCAGAACAGTCTAGCGAGCTTGTATCGGGGTATTACCTTAGTACCGGCCTACCAGAAGGTTCATGCGGGCATAGGTTGTATCCATCGGTATTGATAATCCTTCCCTACGCTGCGACCGGCCCAATAGTTGCCTTCTTTTTGGTTCCAAAAGACCCATAATAGCTGTTGGCGGGGCTCCGGATAAGACTGAGATTGGACAACTGCGGTCTCCAGTGTGTGTTTTCGTTGTTCGTATTGTGAGAGACAGATTAATGTTCAATCTAACACCGAAACCTGAAGGCGAGGATGTCTCTGATCGGATGGCGAAAGTTCTTGGTCAACTGACCGAGAGCATGGCTTGACTCCTTGAAGCTTACTTTCTTCAATACGCTCGTGGTGTTCATGATGATGCAAAGGGCCCCATTCCCGCCCTTCAAACCGAGGAACGGGGGGCCGAACTAATGGACAATCATGCGAGTAGATCCAATGATGGTGACGATGAAGCTGTTGGTTTGAGTTGTTTGGCGATCTTCAACTCCTAAATTCTAAGGCTCCCTCACACCGACCTACGGCCACCCATGACGACCACATGTGTAACTAAGTATCTCCTTCGCTGACTAACCATCATGTGGTTCATTCCCAAAAAAAATTATGACTAAGCCACATTTGATTTGACGAAGCATTCCACTGCAAACAAAGGTCGCGTACAACCAATTCCATCGGAGACTTTTAACAGATTCCCTGGTGAGGCTGTTTATTGACAGCTACTCCGTGGCCACACTCCTTTTCGGTTCCAGTATATTCTCATCCCGCATACTGCGGGAGCATTCATCCCGATTTTCCAATCGTTTACCAGGATTTTCGAGTCGTGCACCGACTACTTTCTCAAGTCCGAGGCTTGCCCCATTTTGTCGGAGACACCGAGCTAACCGCTCCGACTCCTTGCCATTGACTGTTATTATAAGTGTGCGAGTCCCTTGTCATACGAGATTGGCGGCTCTATTGAACGTGAGGGGTTAAATACTGGGAATATAAGTACTCCCGGAATAGCCCAGGGTTATTGGATAACGAATTGCGGTTTCTTCTGGTCGTTCATTGTGTACAAGATATGTTCTAAAACTCACATTGCACAATTGATTAGGCATATTTTGCAAGGCATTCGTTTAAAGCCTCCCTTGACACTTTTGATCTTTTCCCCAGCCCTGGTAAACCGTTTCGGGATACACAACGCTTTTACGACAAATCCTTCCTACCACGTGCACAGCCTGCGAGATGGGGCGCTTAAGTTACCCTCAAGAGCTGGACAGTCCGTCCCGGCAACTCGTGCTAGAATTGGCTCGAGATCTAGAGCAACTCCGCGTTCACAATACCGAATTGAAGAAAGTCAAAGCCTATGAGCGCCGGTCCTTCTACGAGTCTCTTGACCGGATCGATAGTGAACTAGAAGCCCAACACAATGAAGCCCTCGATAAAGTTGCCAAACTGCATGACCAGGTACTGGAGGAAGCCGAAGAAACCTTGCGAGTGCACCAGCGAGCGGTAGAGGAGGAAAATCGCCGCAAGGAAGAAGCAGCCCGTAGGGAGGCGGAGCGCATCGAGCGTGAGAAAGCGGAAAGCTACGCCGTGAGCAGGAAGAAGCTGCACGCCGAGAGGCTGAGCGAAAGGCGGCAGAGGAAGCCAGAAAGAAGGCTGAGGCTGAGGCGGAAAGGCAACGACGGGCAGCGCAAGAGGAAAAGGAACGGAAAGAACGGGAACGATTGGAGGAAGAGAACCGGAAGCGTCAAGCAGAGGCACAGAAAGCGGAACAAGAAGCGGAGCGAGAAGCGGCAAGGCTGAAGGCTGAAGCTGCACAAAAATCACGGGAAGAGCAACAGAAGAAGGTCGGTGGGGCGCGTTTAACGGAGGAAGAGATCAATATGCAAGCACGCTATGTAGAGTTGCACCAGCATCTCAAGAAGTTTAGACAATACCTGAAGGATGAAGGAAAGTCCAACACGGTGGTCAAACAGAACATGGGTGACATGCGTCGATCCATCAAGAAATGTGTCGGTCAGCTACGAGAAGGAAAGGGCACTAACAAGGGCCAGGTACGTGTGATCATCTTGTTCGCCAAAAAAGAAAATATGCATGAGAGACTGGTAAGCTAACTAAACCACTCCTTCTAGCTCGTAGAAATTCGCGCGACCCTCGAGAAGGCTGCCTCTATCCCTGAACCATCTGTCGATATCCGCCAATTCATGGCCTTTCCGCCAGAGGACATTGCCAATTCCGAAGACAACAAGGTGCCGGCTTTGTTGATCTACGCCCTAAATATATTCTCGAAATCTTTAATCTCGTCTCTAATCACGGAAGCTTCTATCAATCCCGGCCATGCAGAGCCAGTTGGAATTGTAGCTGCGCAGATTTTCTCCATGGACGCCTTTGTTTATAAAGGTCATCATATGGTTGACATACTTTGGGCTAAGTATCGCGTCGTCTGTCCGGCACTCTGGGGATTCTACGGCAACGAAAAGACCGAAGCCGGTAGGCGTGCCTTGGGATGGTGGCGTGAAGCGCCAGGCGGTCCTTTTATCAGCGAACAGGTCCATATGGACCGAATGACAGCTCTTGGTGCTGGGTTTGCAGCGCTAACTCTGCGCAATTTTGGAAAAACCCCGCGGAAGAATCCATTTCCCAACCACATGTTTTGGCTTGCGATGCAAAGGATATTGATGATTCCCCCGAGCGAGATTCAAGAGACACATGTTATCTTGCTTTCGGCCATGCTCAAATCTTCTGCTGAAAGGATCGTCGGCTTCTTTGGCCATATCGGTCTGGCATTGATGAGGAAGGCCATAGTCGATTTACCGAACAGCGTTCCTCGTCAGAGTATGGGCGTTAATCAACTGAAACTTCTGAAAGACTTGTACAAGCGAGAGAAGAACATAGTCATCTGAGAGGGCCATGACCGGATACAGTTTGTCGGCGCAGCGGAATCCGGCTACGGGCTTGTTTCCTTTAACCTTGCCAAAGGACAAATGACGTGCGCCATACTAATGTCGCACGATTATTCGATAAGCGCCGACATAATCCCGATGCTGACCGAATCATCACCGCCATACCTCCGGTTCACGGCCTAAGTGAGGCTGGTGTGAATCTGGTAAATATGCGGTCAACGAAAAATAGTCGGATCTTCGTGTCTAACCGGATTTCACGGCGCAAACAGTCATCCCTGTTTTACATCCGTTAGCCAATTGAGGCACTCTCTTCCGTCATGTTCAGGATTTAAAAAGCTGGAATTATGTGTAGCCTACTACTAGCCATACCGCCAATTCCCGTATGGCGCCCGAAGAGGTTGGGCACGGGTTCTATTGTACAACATTACGTGTGGTGGTGTTGACAACCAAACCACTGGCAAGTGGCCTCTTAATGACCGTTGTTATAAGGTTGAGTTTCGTGTACACGGCTTTCGGGTCACGGCAGGTTTTCGCTGCTGTCGGGAATTATATTTAGTTTATCACCAGTTCCGATCGGCCCACCATCACGCAACTACGGGACTGCCGAGTCTATCATTCGTCCGCTAGTTGCACTTCAAACTTGATATCGATACCGCGATACATATGGATGACAACCTGGTTTTATCTTGAAATGAATCATACGTTCACACATCAGATGCCGATCCTTGGTTCAGGGGCATCCTTGACAGCTATCATCGCATCGGACCCGTCTTTATATTCGGCGCCTTCTCACCGACGAAAGTAAACCATAGGGGTAGAATAATAATGAACTATATACATTTCACCTATCATCATCCATCACTGCTGAGCAGTCTCAATCTCATATCTTTCAGTCTAGATACCTGATTCTTCCTCTTCCCTTCGTCATTACTCGCACGCAATGGCTGCGTATCTCCCTTTAGAGATCGTCCAGTCCTTCCTTCTTCATCTCGATGTGGAATCATATATCGCTGCACGGCAGACATGCAGCTCCTGGCGATGTGCGGCATCGGCACCGTACATGTTCAGGAAAGCTCTACAGCATGTCCCGGTGTCATTACCTCCAACGATAAATACCCTGACTCAAGATCAATGGACCACGTACTTCGCCCAGATCACCCGCTTGAATCTACTGCACTGCCGACAGGATATTAGGAAGTCGGTGACCCAACGGGACCTCCCCTATGAATGCTCCGCTACCACTGTGGTGGGAACCTCAACTGATGGACAGAAAATGGTGACCCTGAAAGGAGGGCGGGCGACCGTATACGAGCGTGTAAACCTAACAAGTCCATGGGAGTACTCCCGGGGTATAACACTTTATTCTCAATGGACCTCTGTCGCCCGTGCCATGCTAGAAGGGGGGACCGCAGGCTGCATGTCCATCAATCAGCGATACGCAAAACAGAGTATCGCTGTCTCCTCTCAAGGCGACCTTATCGCCGTAGGGCTGGGGAGAACAATCCAGATCTACAGCCTTCGCAAAGATCAACATCTTCTGTCTCCCGCAGAATATGTATTAGGCCAGGATAACTCATTGACCAGCACCACACGAGGCCATTACGAGGACACAGACGGCGTCGTCGATTCCCTAGAATTTGCCGACGACGACATTCTCCTCCGTGTCTCGATCAACAAGGAAACAACCATTCACCAACCCACCCGAGTGCGGTACTTGGGCTGTCCGGACCTCGCACACAACCAACCCGACCTCAACTACTGGCGAGCAAACATCAGCCGGATCTACCTCGACTCAGCAGCTTTATCAGTGGCACTTGCAGGACAGGATGAGTACCGACTGATTTTCCGGGGCCTACGACTCCTCCCACCATCATTCCCTGCAACCCAGCAACAAGAACAAGAAGACCAGCAGACCTCTCCTCCAACGCCACGCTACTTCGTCGCATCACTGCAGTCAGGCGTCATCCACGGATACTGTATCGGCCTCGCAACACCCCTCACATCCAACACTCCCCAAACAGTGAAGGTACATCGACTCCTCCCATCCGCCTATTTCCGGCCCGGAGACGGCATCACAGCACCCGCACCGAGGAATTCCCACCACTCAACCCACCCCTCCCATCCAGCCGCTGTGACGAGCAACACATAACATACAACCTCCTAGACACAGTCCCGCGGTGGAGCGCAGCCAACCTCCCATCTGCAACCTTCGCATCTCCCCTCCTATCCATCTCCACCGACCACCAAATCCTCGCCCTCTACGAACCGAGCGGCAACTACTCCCCCGCCATCGTCTCCGGCGGCTCATTGTACCTATACTGTATCGAAAACTGCCGCCCCATATACCAGCCGGGTCCGCAGAGATTTAAACAGCCAACCCAGAAGACCTCCCTCCCTCATCAGCGGGCTGATAGCCCTGAGGACAAATTCAGCGTCGATGCCAGATATCCGCCCCCGGATATCGTTCCCTCTTGGCCGTTCCTTCTTGACAAAGTGCCCGTTGACATTGACTCCCTTGAAGTGAAACGGTCGACTGATGACGATGGTGTCGTCGATTCGAAGAGTTGTGCATATACGATTACCGCGCGTTCGGGCGGACAGGCTCTGGAGTGGCGGATGAGTGCTTAGGATCTGTTGGATTCTATGAATCTTTTTTCGTTTGCTTTCTTTTTCGGGGCCCGGGGGGGGGGTTTCCCCCTATTCGGATAGATTGGTGTTTCATGGTGTTCATATTCAATGGGATAGATCCGGGTATAATGTTGTCTTAATGTATGCTTATATACGTGATAATATGGATAGATTAGGGAATGCATACGAAAGGTCTGTGCAGCCTCAACATTGTGTATTCGATGCCAACGAGAATGTATTACTGTATGTTCAATTAATTATTAACGGGTATTTACATACACTAGCAGCCAAGGCCGGTAGCAAAATAGACCATATGGAGGGGAAAGCGTAAACAGATGCATATGCTTGGAATATCTTCTGTATGAACGTCGCTCACAAGGCAAACATGTCACTGTTGGAGAAGTGGGAAAACGAAGGTCGAGAGTGCTAAGATAACGAGCGAGAGGTCAAGTCTATTATAAACATTTGGAAGCCAAAGAATTGTACAAAAGATTGCCGCAGGCTCATACAGCTGGTATTGGTATCGGGGGGAAAGACAGAGACCAAAATGGAAAAAGAGGCGTGGAAGTTAAAAAAAAAAAAGATCGTAATCCCACTGCCATTAGAAACAAGAGAAGCTTAACCGCAAATACACACAATGCAAAAGATCAAAAGAGAGCAAGCTAGTATGCAGCATAATGTCACATGTAATAATACTGGTCTGGATTGAAGTGCTAATCAGCTATCAAGCCAGGGTGAAAGCTAAGGGGGAAAGATATCAACAATCTAAGACGTTATTTGCGGTCCAAATGGACCATCTCCGGTCTCTTTAGGTGACGCCGAGACGAGACCATCAACCGTGCTTTCGTTTTCTTCTGCCCAAGAGCCCTCTCCATAGTCGGTAGGCTCGGCATCATGGTCATAGCTTGACCTTCGCAGCAGAGGGGGAGTCCTTGGTGGTTCTTGCATTCTGCTCGCACGTGCTGACGTTTGTCTCGGGGTAGTATCAAAGCTTCTGAGGGCGCGACTCTCTGATGGTCGTCTCCATCCTCCTGTAGCGGGAGCAGTCGCGTTTGCAGTAGCTTGTCGGGCGTTAGAGCCAGGAGGTGTCAAAAGTCCGGATAGGAAAGCAGTTGCATTGCTCGGCTTGGAAGGTGTTTGTTCAGAGGCGCCGGGATTCGGGGTTTCTCTACCCCTGCGCCAGTTGCCCCATGCGGCTGCGGCTGCGAGAGGTAAAGAGCGCGGCGATGCAGTCAACTCGGAAAGCGAAGGAAAACTGGGAAAACTCTGTCCCGACAGAGCCCTGTCCTTTTCTTGCTGCTGCATTTGCAGGTTTGCTTTCAAACGGATGGCAGCATCACGCACAGTGTTGTGATCAAACGATGGTTGTGACAGAGTCCTGATGATATCCTGGAGGTCGTCGATACGGACTCCAAGAAGCTCACGCAGCCAGGTGATTTCTGTATCTTTCTCTTTGAGCTTGTTCGGCGCATCCTTGTCGAAAGAAGCAACCTCTTGCTCTAGTTCCTCGATGCGGGTCTCGCGCTGCTGCAGTTGGTCCTGTAGGACGAGAATCGACTCACGTAAGGCCTGAGGAGAGATCTTCTCAGGGACCATAGTTCCCTGGCTGAATGACAACGATGGGGATGTAGAGTGTGCTGAAGACGACACCATAGGAGCTGCCTTGGCTGCCTGGGCGGCTTCAGCGGCGGCACGAGCAGCGGACTGAGCGATTTCGAGCCTCTCTTCCAAATGGTTAACGCGATCCTGAAGGTGCTTAGCCTTATCTTCCGAGAGTTCCAAGCGTTCTGTCAAATGAGACTCTGCTCGCTGTCTATCCTCCGATGCATTGTGCATGGCGCGGACATGGCGCTCGCGAAGATCATTGAGGACGCGCTCATGCAGCTTACGCTGCTCTTCCATAGCAAGCTCGTGAGCGTTAGCCATCGAGGCCATAGCACTGGCCTTAGTCTCATTGGCCTCCTCCAGCAGCATCTCGTAGCGTTGCTGTGCGGTATCACTATCGAGCCGGACACTATCCAGTTGACCCTGGAGACGCAGGATTTGTGCTTCCAGTTCCGCACGGACAATGTTGACTTGACTGTTAGCAGCCTCGACATCGGTCTCCAACGAAGATCTGGTACGCTGGATTTCAACCCTACTGCTCTCCCGTGCCTCATTGAATTCGCGCTCAAAACGAGCTGCCTTTATCTCCAAGTCGTGGTTCTCAATTCTAAGGTTTGCCACTAGCTCTTCCAACCTGGCATTCTCTTGCTGAGACTGACCAAAGATAAACTTCAGCTTCACCGCTTCTCGCTCCTGCTGTTCAAGCTCGCTGATATCAACCTCAAGCTTCTCGCGGAGTTTCACTTCACGGTTGTAAGCGGCCTGGAGTTCGTTATACTTGGCTACATGCTCTTCTTGCCGTCTGCGCCAGGAGGCTTGGTCGCGGGTAATATCCCGAGTCACAGTCGCCATCTCGTCTTGGAGGCGGTCGAACCTTTCGCCTAGATTTTGTCGTACATTCAATCCATCCTCAATCCGCGACTTCATATGTTCGATGGTGACACGTAGATCCTTGTTTTCAATTTTCATTTCTTCGATCTGGGCCTTGGACTGCTCACTCTCCTGCTTCCAGTGATCACTAGAGAATCGGTATTCGTCCAAGGTGCCTTCGAGGGAGATGTTCTTCGAGGAAATCTCGGCTAGAGTTAACTTGAGTTTTGCATGTTCTTGCTCAAGTGCGTCAGACCTTGCCTGGACCTGTTCGAAATAAGGAATCTTTTCTTCCTTGAACTGGAGCAGGCGAGTCTCGGCAGATTCAGCAGCCTCGCTATGGCGAGCAGCATTGTCCTCAGAAACCTTGAGAAGGTGCTGAAGTTCTATAACAGAGTCCTGGGCTTCTCTACGCTTTTTGTATTCCTCCTCAGCACGCTCATCGCTTACTCTTAGCATTTCTTTCAGACCATCAATCTGAAGCATAAGACTATCGGCACCAATCTCTTCGGCTTCAGAGGTGCGAGGCTTTTGCTGGCTAAACTGGGCCGAGACAACATCTTCAATCATTTCTCTTAAATCGGTCGTAGAGTCTTGAGAGTGCTTCTTCAGTGTTAAAGCCTGTAGGTCTGTTACACTTTGTTGAAGTTGTGCAATTTCGGAATTGATAGGTTTTTCTGTTTCATGCTGAGCGTCACGACTCGCTAACGCTTCGAGAATCACATTCTTTAACTTTTCGAGTTTTCGACCTCTCTGGCGAACGGGGGACCTATCTCTGTAGGATGCATTCTCCTCATATTCTTCTTCGTCGTCGGCATCACTTTCCTCACCCTCGACAGAGGCACTCCATGACCATTTGTTTTGAGATCCTCCGAAGGTCATAGTGGAGATTGAGTTCTCAATAGCTATCAATGCACGCTCAAGAGGGGAGAGGCGCTCCTCAACAACGGAGCCGACAAGCTCATGAATGCGGCGATCGAAAAATCTGCTCCGGTTTGCCAACTTCTCATCTTCGCCCGATGAAATAACATCGTCCCAGTCACTGATGTGATCGTTTCGACTAACCAACTGTCGGATGGGCGAGTGGATAGTGGAGGCGAAATTCCTCGAGGGCGTCGCTGAGAACTGGGATTGGGCATCAAAGTCAAGTTTGGGCACATTCAATGCTTGGGATATATGACCCCTTCCTGGACTGGGGCTAGGGGCTTCACTCCTGATCTCTGCGTGGACATGCCGTTTTTCTTTTGACGGCGCGACAACAGATTCAGGGAATCGGTTTGTAGGATGAGGTGTGCTTAATCTCTCAATTCCTACATCCGAGTCTTCATTCAACTGTTCCATAACAGCGTTCAGTTCCTCATCATCCATGGACTCCTCCTCCTCAGACTGAGGTCCTACGCTTTGTTCAAATTGAGGAGCGCCCGTTCTCAGCTCATCGTCCGATGGGCCAGTTCCTGGTTGTGTCGACTCAACTGGCACCACGCCTTCCCTGAGTGCAGCCAGTGAGCTTGCGACAGCATGCTGTGAAGCCATGATGTCACTCTTCTCGACGACGTCTTCAGGAGCTGTTTTTGGTTCTTCGACAACGGGGACAAACTCAGGCACAAAGGGCTTGAATTCGAATGGCTTTGCATCTGGCGAAAGCACCGAAGCATTCAAGCGAGAATCAGTAGCTTCCTGCATGGATTGCTCTTTTTCTTTGGGGTCAATAGAAGGGGTAGCTGCCTCGACTGCTGGTGATAGCTTCAATTCAGCTTTCTCGTCAACAGCTACTTCCTGCCCGGGCTGTGTAGTCGCTGTCTGGCTCTGTCCTAATGCTTCTGTACGTGTTTCTGCACTCTCATCTTTCGTATCAGAAGGCATCCAGGTTGATGCTTCACTAACAGGTGTGTCCTTCCGCTCCCGTTCTTTGCGGTCCTGGGCTGGGGCGACTTCCCTCTCCACTGAATCGACATCACCCTTATCAGGTGAAGTGTTCTCTTTGCCTCCTGCGGACACATGCGTTGTGTTAGATAATTGGGTTGCTTGAGCATTGATGCTTTCTGACAGAGCATGAGACACGCTTATCTGAGCTTCTCCATCAGGGCCCTCAAGACTACGGCGGGCACGTTTGTGGCGATCTGTAGGAGCAGCAGACCGGCCATTTTCATTCTCTGCATCCTCCTCTTCCTTGTATTGGTTAGTCTCGTCGTCATCTGGGCGTACAATGGGAATAGCTTTCGACTTTTTAGTAAGCTTCTGTGCTTGGGACAAGTCGACATCATCAAAGATCTTAGTTCTGCCACTTGAAGACTGGTCAGGGCCTGCCGAGTAATGGTTATTGGTTGGGTTGAAAACCGGGGCAGCGACATTGAAGGAGCCTGGCGTGAAGGAAGGAGCGGTCACATTGAAGGAGTCTGCCGGCTGCTTGAAGCCTGCACCAGAGCCAAAGGCAAACATATTGTGGCCCGCCGCCGGGAATTGGAAGGAATTACCCTGGTATGGGAAGGCCTGTGAAGAAGTTGACGCCGTTGGGTCAAATTCCTTCGCATCAACATTTAAAGTAGAAGACGAAAGCTTTGAGCGGTGTCCGCCGCCGTATGACCCAGCGCTGGGGTTTGGTTCATGCCAGGGTATATGATTCGCAAGCTTTCCATGAGGTGTGCCAGAAAGACTGGGGTTAGTATCGATATCTGAGCCTTCCTGTGCATTATCTGCTGGGTATGCTCCGCCGTAATATTGATGTACATGTTGAGGCAAATGTTGGATATCGTGGTTGATATTCTCTGGTAAAGCCCACTGAGACTTTAATATATCTGAACCATTGAAACCGTGGGGTTCGCGGTCACCTTCATCCAATTGTCTGTTTATCGACTCCTCCAAGTGGTATTCAGACTGCGTATATTGGTCAAGGCCTTTTTGAAGGGTCTCGCTTAGATTGTGACCACGACTATGGCCACGAGGTGTGGGGTGGGCGATCTCAACTGTTGAAGCATGGAAGTGATCCGGGTTTTCGGTAGGAGTGCGTATAGGACGCAATAGCTGACCTTCCGTCATGTTATCTTGCATGTCATAACCCATATGATCGCCAAAAGTTTCTTTCGGTAGTCCAGGCTGCTCGTTCAGACCGGGGTGGAACGCATTTTGTTCATTCAACGGAGAGACCGGTGATAATATAGAGGTCAAGTTTGGCAGTGTGCCAGTAAGGGTAGACGCCGCGCCTGCTTGACGTGCATTGAAGAAACTCTGGGGGGTCAAAGATCCCTGGGCAGGAGGTGTAGGTTGGAAAGGAATATGATATCCAGGAAGGAGGTTCTGATCAACCCCCAGAAAGGGTGTTTGTACACCAAACTGCGAAGCAGGAGAAGTCAAAGAACCCATACCATTGCGGGCGTTCGTGGATTGACTCAACTGGGGAGAGAACGGGTGAGACAGCGACAATGGGTTACTAGCCGCAGACGCTGTGGGGATTGGTGGTGAGGAAACAAGACCAGGGAATGGTGCCATCTGGCTCATGGCGGCCGATGCAGGTGAAACTGACGGTTGTACTTCATCATCGCCCAAAAATACACCCAAAGCTCGTAACTTCTCTTCCTGAAGGAAGTTTACATATGCGTCCCATACAGCTTTATTGGGGAAGCAAACAGTATAGCTTCGGGAGTTCCATTCTTCCTGGACTTCAGTGGCATCGGGCCAGGTGGGACGACTAAGACCGCCCAATTCTGTATCCAAATAATTCTCTGATGCACCGACACTAAATCCGCGCACATCATAGCCTTTCTCTTCCCATGACTTTAGGCGCCTGTTGACATCTTCGACAGTCAACAACTGGTACCCAGACTCCTCGCTGCCTCGCTTGTCTTCCGGTGGAAGACCGACGAAGCATGCTTTTCCGCGCCAAGCAATCTTTTTTCTGATTCGTTGTGCAGGCTTGTCTGAAACTGGTGTCTTCACAGCTTTCGGTTCCGCTTTCGTCGTGTTCTCCAAAGTCAAAAGGCTTTCGTTCAATGCATCTGCAGGGGGAGGAGGAAGCGGCTTTTCAACTGAAGGCAGCACCTTGCTCCCCGCTTCAGTGGGGAGCTGTGTCTCTGTCGTGTCCGTCATAGTGATGGGTTGAGGATCTTTATCGTATGCAAAACCCCAAAAGTCTTCCTGTCGCAGTGTCTCCGCTCTCCTGTGCAAATATTCTTTAGTCCTCTGACGAGCCACGCTACCTTCTCCGTTACCAGTTCCCGCTCTTCGGTTCACAAAGTCGGCCAACGTTGGAGTCCTAAGTAAGTCTTCTTCGCGCTTGTCTTGTTCGAAACCAAGCCAGTCGTCAGAGAGGTCGTCTGCAAAATGATTTTGAGCTGTAAAAAACGATGGGGCCTCGCTGCCAGAGTCGTCGCTCAGCCAGTTGCTGCGTTCGGTCCTTGGCTGGCCGGAAAGATATTGGTTGATCCAATCCTGCGTGAAATCTTTGATGGATTTCCCTCCTCTTCTACCAAATATATCTCTTCCTGGAGAGCGGTTGCGGATACTGCCGTGTAGCTGGGTAGTCGGGTCTTCGGGGGCGGACGTTAAGACCAATTCGGGGTTATTCGTTTCGGACCCGTGGTAGATACCACTGCGCATCGAAGTCGGAGAGCTATCTCTAGAGCCTCGACCGATACCAGCGTGCTGACTCAGTGACCACGAGAGTCTCCGAGGGCTAGGTGCAGCATACGGGGAGCCCCAGGCAGTCGTATAGTAAACGCTGCTTTCAGCCTTCTTGTTCTCTGGAGACGAAGTGGTTGAATCCCAAGCAGCCCGATACTTCGACAAAGTGGGGAGGGTGGACGGCGGGTTCGAGGTTATGCTGGTTCCTCTAAGGGAGTTCCGTCGGCCAGGAGAACCAGTGGTCGAGAGACTCGACGCACCTGGCGATGTGAAGGATGATGTCAATGGAGCAGCCAAAAGGGAATCGTCACGAAGGTGGGAAGAATTGGTGGAATGCAACGGCGGAGAATGCGCCGAATTGGCGGAAGATACGGACGGGTCTAGATCTAGAAGCATTGAATTTAAGAATTTAGTTCCTGATGCAGTGCGATTGGAAACGGTGAAAAGGACGACAAAAAAGCTGATTGAAACTGTCCAAATGGAGTTCTCCAAGAATGTAGCCACGGGGACCACATGCACAAACACACACCTTCCGTGTCGACTGCCGCAGCAAGCACTTGCTTGCTGCTCTCCTTATCGCCCAGAATGTTGAAGCATGGAAATTAAACGACCGAGTCTGAATCCACCTCGCAGATTACCTCCGATCGGCACACGTAAGAGGGCAACGAGGGGAGTTGCAGGCTAAGGCCGAACCGCGACGATGAGACGTGTTTTGGGGGTAGAGAGAGATCCTCTTCAGGGGGTTGAAAAGAAGGAATGAATAACAGATCACAGGAGCCTAAGGTATGCGAAAATATTCGACATGGCGCATACACGGAGGACTCAGCTGGATCGAAGTTGGACTATGAAAAGAATGAAATCGGAACTAAGGGGAGGAAGGATGAAAGACGAGAGATGATTATCGGTTCTTTCTCTCTCTCTTTTTTTTTTGGTTCTAATCTTTGGACTCAGACCATGACACGATCAGCCAAAAGAACTAAACTTCCCCGTTCAGACTTAAAGCGGCCGAGGAAGAATATCATAGGCGGAGAGACTCCAAAAAGCCGGGCCGTTGGGGAAAAGTAAAGTATTTTACAGTCAGAATATACCAGAGGTCCAAGTGACTACTTTACTAGCCTTACTACTAGTAGTACTACTATTTAACTTGACCGCCATCTCTACAATACACGCCTGCTCTGTACCAACTGGGTGATACATACATCTATACATACTACAGAGTACTAGTACTAGTATGTACTCCGTACATACATTCATGCATTCCTGCCAACTCCAATCTGATGCACATACCAAGGATCGCTATGTGGTCAGCCTAATTCCTTACTCTCCCTGGAAAGGTATCTGATTATCTATGGACGCTAACTAACTATCCGAGAAAAGTGGTGGGTGATACAACGACTATTCTGTGGAAACACGTATGGAATTCGGATCTAAGTATTGTTGGTTGCTTCACTATTGCTTACAGATATAGATACTCCGTATGAGCTGCATCTTTTCTGGAACATACAGAGTCCACAGAGGCCGTCAGCAAAGGCAATAGGCCAGCCCCTGAGTGATGTTCGACCCCATAAACAAATAAACACATCTCTTTGGTTCGTGCCCTCCGTTCAGGGGTAAATTCCACCACCGCGAAAACCACGGTTCCCCCGGTCAGGCCATTACCATACATACCGTACCCATACACAGATACCTGCTCGGTATCAGTACCTGACCTTTTTAGTTAACTAGTTAACTACGTAGTAGTGATTATGTAACCATTCTCGTATTTCACATGATCACAGAGCCTTCGCGATTCTAATGAAATAGTACTCATCGTTGATAGAGATAAAAATAAGGTTTCTCGGTACTCTATTAAGACTATTGTCACAGTTGACTTACTACCAGGTAATTTGCTTCTACATGCTTCATAGCAAATAATGCACCAATAGTAATGCACAGATATCCACGCATATATGCGCGACCATGTCTCTCGCCTGTTGAGATAGGACTTGAATATATGATACAGAAGAATTTCAAGGAGAATTTCAAAGTGAACAAGGGCCGCCAGGCACCCCGCCTATGCCAGAAATAATGGTGTATGCTTAGTTAGGGCAAGACAAGTCGAACTTGGCCTTACGGTCGGCAGTGAAAAGACCCCAGTGGGTCTCGTCCTTCTCCTCGCCGTTGTCACCAATGCTCGTGGGCTTCCAGGATTCGTCGAAAGCCTCAAAGTAGAAAACATCGACACCCCACTTAAGCATAGAGCAAACAGCCTCCTTCCAATACCGTGCAGCATTCTGAGTGCCAGCTTTGGCGGTTGATAGTCAGAACCGCCATCGGTGGGCCAACCAGTCTCGCCGTTTGCGAAGATAATTTTGTCCTTGTTGTCGCCAGCAGCATTTTCAATACGCTCCAGGGCTAACGTTGTGTCATTCCAATAGGTCTTGGTCGCATGGTTGATATCCGATCCTTGCCAATAGGCGAAGGCATTGGCCATACTATGAGGAGGTTAATTAGGGTAGCGAATATGAAGCGACAGGGATTTAGATAACGTACATATAAGTGACACCTCCCTTGATGATGGGATCGGCAGTACCATCGTAGAAAAGGTTCCAGCTGTCCACCGTACCAACGGTCATCTTGGGGAACGCACTCTGGACCGTACGAATCTTGTCCAGGAGCTCTTGGGCCGTAAGGCCTTTGCGGTATAGGGTTTCAGAGCCGACAGTGATGGAATGGATAACATCTTCATTTCCGGGAACAGTCTGCTTCAAGACATCCAAGTCATTGTTGAAGGATTCGTCATAATCAGCCCTAACGAAACAAGCGACGTTAACATCCAGAGGACTCCAGCAACTATATGACGTGTAACCTACCAGACACCCAACACAACCTTGAACTGCTTGTTCTTGGCTGCAGGGACGATATTCACGGCGGTGTTGCAATCATTGGCGGAGTATGTGCGGACGAGGGTGGTTAGGCTCTTGAGCGCGTCAAAGTCGGCCTCATAGTCGCTAGTGGACTTGCAGGTGCCGTCAGGATTCTTGTTACCCAGGGAAAGACCGAGGGTACCCCGCTTCGCGGTAACAGCGGGAATCGCTGCAAGTAAAAGAGAAAGAAAACCGGCGGCACGCATTTTCGGAGATGTCGTCGTGCGGTCAAGGAAAGAGAGGATGAGTTACGAGTAGAGAACGCGAAGGAGAAGGGGATAAATGCCTTCTGCCTATTTGTACTGTGAGAAAAGAGAAAGGAGGGATGCACAAGTACAAAAAAAAAAAGGCAAAAAGGAAATTGGAATAAGACCAAAATAACAACAACAATATAGGGAAAGGGGTCGAAGTGCCCGGTAGGAAGGATTGACTGGGAATATATAAGAATAGAAGCTGTACGTCAAGAAAAGAAAGTGTGGAGTTGGATTGGGTAAGAACTGCCTCCTGAAGGCTGAAGCGCACCCCCGACAGTTACAGCAAATCTCCCGGAGTGAATGGAAGTGAATGATCAAAGAGAACGGGATCTTGGCCAATAATATAATTAGAAAAAGATTCTAGCTGGCCCACTAATTCCAGGACCCACCCAAATCATCCAATCTACAATCGCATTGAAAGATTCGAACCCTTCCAGACCCTTCCGATCTCCACCAGCCGTCCCTGTTGTCGGCCAACGCTTCCCTTATTGCTCAGTGGCAGACGCGAAGTGACCCGGCGATCCCTATAAGCCAATGCTATTCTTGGGTTCTCGACTGAAACCTCCACTAAACTGGAGGAAGTTAAGACCTGGCCCACAGCGATTAGTACAACTGCTACTGACTTGGTCTGCAGGGTTTCAGGGTCTGGAATCAATTGGTATCAGTTTGCTGTACTCCGTGCTCTGTAGACATGATCTTACTATGACCGACTTCATTCAACACCGCCTTTACTAGGTACTCTGTACTACTAGTACTGTTAATGGTCATGCTGCTCCTTACAACACCAATTTGGGCGTCCCGAATCGGTACCGACCAATGGCCGAGTCTCACGCATGGCGTGGCGTTATCGAATGATTTTTCCATCCGGTCCGATGCGGCTGCTTCATCCTGTTGTTCTCGGCCTTCGCCGAATCTTTATCGCTCTCAAGAAACATGGGAAGTTCTTCTAGAAACCTCGGTCCATTTTTGTGGCTACCGAATCATTCCTAACTGATATTCGTTGACCAACGTCATAATGTCACAAACAGACCCTTGGACGCGAATTCCTAATCCACCCGAACCTTTGGTATGGACTCTGCGGATAGAGTCAAAGGCGCATCGAGAACAAGAAGACCCGAAAAACAGAAGGGAAAAAATTACGTCCACATTCTTATTTTGATATATCCACCTAACCTACCCATTTAGGACAAGTACTCGAGCCATCAAGCATCCCATGTACCGACCACATGGTGTTGCCGGTGGCCGAAAACCCCGGTATGGGTCTTCAAAAAAAATCAAGGTTGTTTTAGGTTCTCCAACGGCAATGGCAATCTTAGACTTCTTTGGGATCGATTATCGATTTGGCCTCGTTTGGGGTAATACTGCGCCCGGTCCTCTCGTTGAAATGTGTACTAACAGCCAACCATTTATCTCTATCCCAATTGGCAGCAATTGTATGTAGAAGCAGCACTTCCTCCAAATCAAAGTTTTCATCAGTATAGAGCACATGTTTGACTTTTGATGGTCGAGAGGCCATTAGATGGTCATCAGTCTACCAGGATAGCCTGTCAGAAACAGCGGGAAAACGAGTAGCCCAAACTAAGCTCGTAGAGTGAATGTACTCACATTGTCATTCGTAACCAATGGATCTGAGAAAGACACGTTTCGATCAACTTTCCCATCTTCCGACAATTCATAGATGAAATGCACCTCGTTGGTATCTCTCCTTGGTTTTGCAACAATGTCTTTCGCGATGTCCTCCCGGAGATTCAGCCATCGCTCTTTGAGATCTTCGACGGGCTTATTGTTCATCGCAGCAGATATATATTTCCATGGGATATTGCATTTTCTAAGATCCTGAAGGGTCAGATCGTCTTGAGCAGACCATCCGGTGTGTATAGAAGCTTCGGGTGTAGCTTTCCCACGCTATATATCACCGTTAGCATTTTAGAATACCGAACATCTCTTGTGCATGTAAAATTCGAACTATTGCTCCTCACAATTTTTGCATTATAGGTGAGCCATCTCTCATTTGTGGTCCTGTAGTCTCTGAAGAACGGCATGAATGGTATTCGGTAACGTTCACCGTCCACTATAAATACAGGCATGATAATCTTTCATGGCATCCAGACACTTTATGGCCGCTCAGAGACACGATTTTATAGGTAGGTTATGGGATGACTGATCTGTCCGTTGTGAGTATATGTATGTGCGCATCGCGAGGAAACATGAAGGGATAGAAATTGCAACTGGGCTGCAGACAGTAGCTTCCTAAAAAGGAAGATGAGGGGTTAGTCGGGTGATTGAATCTCAAGGCGGACATTATGCCCTGTAGAAATGGAAATATCCGTCGCAATGATTATTCAATATCATCTCCTCTAAGGGATCATCTTATGTTTGCATTCTCTTGCTTGACATATCACCGTATAGTTTAAGAGATGTACCATCAGCCAGTTTTCAAAAGGCCAATGGCCGTATGCCACAGATATATGTCTGTGTCAGTCATTCAGTATAACTAGTTACAATATGGGAAAGAGCAAGCAATAAGTCATCAGAACACTTCGCTCACTATATTGAAAGCGTCTAGTGCGCGGAGTGACTAATTAGATATACCATTGGAAACAAATTACTACTTGAAAATGAAATCTTTTCACAGAGTAATATTTATTCTTGCCCTAATGTTACAATACCTAGCTAATTATTCATGGAACATGCTTCTATTGATTGTTTGTTTGTATGGTTGGCATCAACTTCAGGATGTGACACCTGAGGCCATACCGTGCTTAGGTGGTCCGAGCGCCTCAACTTCCCAAACGGAATGAGAGAAGACCACCTTGCGCGTCGTCGGGGAATATCGACTGTCAGGCCGCAATCGTCCACCCCAACAACCTGCTTTCCTTCGAAGGGTCATAGTATTCTCTGAGTCAAAAACTACGATTGCAGGCAAGGAACTATACGCCCACCATGCGATTTTCCGCAACAACCCTCCTGATTACCGCGCTGGGGTGGATCACCGCTGTGACCGCACACACCATCCAGCTTAAGGCTCACTCGAGAGAATGCTACCACGAATCGCTGCACAAAGATGACAAGATGACGGTCAGCTTCCAAGTCGGTGATCGGGAATTCGGAGGCAGTGGTAATCTGGAGATCGACTTCTGGGTACGGCTCTTCCCTCTTATTATGCTGTTTCGGAATGCAGATTGGGCCCCGATCGATGCCGGCCCTCAGTTAAAAGGAATCGACAACCGGATATATGGACTGACTGGTGTTGGTTGAACTGAGCGCTGACATTTTTCTTTTCTTGTTGCTAGGTTGAGGACCCCTTGAACAACCGCCAGTACTATAAACAAGCTATCTCCTCCGAGGACTACTCGTTTGTTGCTCACGCGGACGGTAAATATGTCTACTGCTTCAGCAATGAAGGGTGGACTTCGAACTCTAAGGAGGTGTCTTTCAATGTTCATGGAATTGTCTACGTCCCCGAATCGGAAATGCCCCAAGATCCTTTGGAAGTGGAAGGTATGAATGGAAACACAACCTGCGCTCAAGTCGCTCCAGCAGCTAATTGTTCCCCGTTGATTAGTTCGTCGTCTTTCAGAGGCATTGGCCCAGGTTAAGGATGAGCAGTCTTACATTGTGGTGAGAGAGCGGGTACACCGGAACACCGCCGAGAGCACAAATGCTAGAGTGAAGTGGTGGAGTATCTTCCAGCTTGCGGTGCTTATTGGAGAGGGCATCTTCCAGGTGTGGTGGTTGAAGAGATTTTTTGAGGTGAGCTATATGAGACACAAGCTCTCCGTTTCCGTTTGCTTGTGTTTCCCCCGTGAAATACTTCCTTTCATCGATAACTGACTATGATTCGACAGGTCAAACGTGTGGTTTAATTTATGTTTCCGGGCATTTCATAGGGGTTTTCTAGGCATTTGTGCAATGGAGCGTGTCCTATATCAGAACAAAAGACTTCGAGTATGTCGTAGTGACGAGGTCAAATATATGAATTTATATGCACAGTCACGAGTATATTTAGCCATCTACAATCAATTCATTCAATTGAAGAAGTATTACCTACCTACCTACTACTGCTGGCACGCCGCTCAGGACTCTAGAAACCGATCGGGCGTTCCCGTAAAGTACCACTATTTAAGCTACTGAACCTGGACTAGACCTCATTCTTATGAAAAGGTACCTCATGTCTACCAGTAGTATGAATGGAGTAGTATGTAACCTTAACCTGCAGCCGCCCCGCACACATCAAAAATATCATGCGATTTATATCAACCTCGTAATGACAGTAGTCTAGAGCTCCTTCTACCCTCATCCCAGGCAAGAAAAGAGGCACACAGATCACAATCTACAATCAATTATTCCATCCCCTGATCGAGCCCCGAATAACCATAACCCGGGCCATGGACCCAAATACGTCATACCCTCTCGAAACAAACGATCCGCTCTTTTACCTCTGCTGGCGCAGACAATCTTGCGGATGGTGTTTGCAAGGCGATGCCCCTTGTAGCTGGTGCTCAGTGGTACGTTGATATCGCCATTCCTCACACACTTCAACATAACCTCTGCCCTCTGTCTATATTCTCCACCCCGTTCCAACAACGCATACATCTAGTTACTAGTATGTGTCTAAACCGAACCTAACAGACCTCAACCTGCGTACCCAATCCCGCTCGCCTCCCTATTCTGGCTCCTCTTGGCTCCTCTAATATCTGTCCTTTGGGGTCCAAGGAGCGATGGGAACTCCGTGCCATGCCATTCGGATGCAATGTTAGTACTTTTACATTCTTGACAGCCGTAGTTTCCGTCTTGGGGACACTGGCTGCCATTGCACTGGGATATTACGTGCTATGGGCTGCAAAGAGACTGAGGCGGTCCTGGGGACAGGGCAAACTTGGAGGTGGGTATAAGGATTGGAGTGCTTGGATAAGGCGAGGGGTTTTCCGTCGGCGTCGAGTCCGTACGGTAGGGGATGTGGAAGGGAACCGCAATGGGAACTCTGAGAGAACACCCTTGTTAGAAGGAGATTGAATGCTTGGGATGGATGGGTGGAGCCACTGCATTACTTTGTGATCTAGTTTACGAAAATGGTCTTTGTGGAAATTGAGAATATGTTTAAAAGTTCGCATGGAGTTGGTACATTGATTGACGTTCGTCCTATCAGGACAATTGTACACCCTGACACGAAGGGATCCGATTTAGCCATGGAGAACCTGGCTTACTCTGTACTCGACGACCGGCTTGCCGCTCTCGATGTTGAAGCGTCCCTGGCCGACGAACACACGGTTCTCGAGGTCCTTGTAGCGCTCGTCGCCGGTCTATTTTATGTTAACATGGTTTTATTTTAGGGTATAGGGATAGGGCGTTATCTTGCCTCGAAGGTAAAATGAGTGACTAGTGCTACCGTCAGTGATGGTTCTGGCATGGATAGCCCGGTGATGTACTTACAGAGATTGCCGAAAGGCGTTGAACCTTCTGGGGCGGTGCCAGCGAAGACCGCCTGCTCTGAGGGGGTAAGGGTGAGAACACCGGTGTAGTTCAGGTAGAGGAGCTGGTTGTTACAGTCGTTAATTGTCTTGTTTTTCATCCCCATGCCCTAGTGCGTGCGGATAAGAATAACCTACAGCATCATCTTTGGTCCTGGATTACGATGATAGTTAGAACACAATCCTGGATAGAGAAAGGCAGGGTAAGGAGGAATTAAGAAGGCGCAAAAAGGTAGAAGCCTACTTAAGAACTGCATGCGCGCTCAATCGCAGGTGCTTGCCGTCGGCATCCGCGTGGATGTAGTCATTGCCCACTCCGACGAATTCGGCGTCGAGCGCGGGAGAGAAACCAGAGTCGCCCTTGACAGTACCTCCGGTCATAGGCTTTTGCCCGTCAAAAGAGTACAGTCAGATTCTCTCTTGTATATATGTTACATAGAGATGATGGATAGGTTGACATACCACAACCTGTAGAGGGTTGGACCGAGAGGCGCTGCCTACGCGCATTAGGTAGTTAGTTGTCTGCCGCTCTTTGTCATTGACGACTCAGAAACACGACCCACCAACTGCTAGAGGAGCATCTATGTTCACCTAGTTTCAAGTCAGATTTCAGTGACATAGAACAAGTCTTGGTGTTGGTCAGCACACGTACCCGAACGGTGAAGGCAGGCTTAAGAGTGGGAAATCCGGACATGATGGCTTGTTAGTGATGAACTAAGCGATAGTAAAATAGGGACTATACAAAGTGACTGAATTGCTTTGAAGGGAAAATGAGGCTAGAATTTGATGATGCACTTAGGAGAGCGCAGTTTTCGACTGGCGCCATTTGAACCCCGCACTAGTGGAGTGATTATGCATGACGAGGGGCATTCATCCTACAACAACATCGACTTATTTTCTGGCCACGAGTTCCATGAGAAGTCGTACCATATATCAGCATTCATATTTTGTGGTACACTGTGTATATTGTACGCCAGTGATGTTACTTGACGTCTATTTTAGGATTAGATGATCACGTTCCCAGCTGTATATTTGTGCTGTGCTGCAGCTCTATCGGGGATAGAATAAGAATAAGGAGAAAACATTCAAGGATATCCTTCCGTTAATCTCGGCTGTTTATTGTCTATGGATTATTGGAATCACCTGAGTCATAGCACCTGGGCAATTTCGATAAATCCAAACTCAATCCACTTGAACTTTTACCAGCATCCGACGGGCCACTGCATACCAAATATTCAAGACACACATCGGCAACTTCCTAAATGAATGGTGTGGCTCCATTGCGGACAGCTTCCCCTGAATGGAGATAGTCGGATATCTATGAGTGAAAGAATTTTGAATATGAATAAGACAGTATGATCGACCATCTTGTGCAGAGTTGCCAGGGAGAAATATCCTAATCTTTGCCCGAATCGCTTCGAAGTTCCAGCCTTCACATGGTTTTTCTTCCTGCAGCTATAACTTAGCTGGAGATTGTGGGTTATTATTAGGTGTGCCAATTACGGCATCTTTTATGCGTCGGTAATTTTAAGCCCCCAGCTCGCAGGGTTGAGACATCTGTAAGTCATTCAGTGGACCGCTAATTTCACAGGTGCTGGCCACTCTTAGGCCTAAGAGACCGTAATAATCTGTGCACTGAACTTACAGATGTATTCCATGACAACGCAAACCACCTTGCTCTGCAATCTTAGTCTTTTTGGAAGGCTGCATAGGCCCTTGGAACAACACCGTGGCGGTCTACTACACAAAAGGCTATACCCACAGAAGACTCAATCGGAGACGAACGTGAATGATATAAATGGTGTATTGAGATAATTATGAGTCACGAGACATGATCTGCGGACGATGGGTTGACCAGATCTGATATCTTAAGCCTTCACGCTAGTGAATTCGACTGACCCAACCCTTAGCGGTGCCCTATTACAAGTTCCGCTTGCATTGACCATGAAACCCACAACAGCAGCCTGTGCTCACAAGGTCTCCAGGTCTCCCACACTCATAAATGGGTCATGTTACTCCGGTTGACACCCAGTCGAGCAAACCAACTGCTCCCTGGTACCCACGTGGGGACTCCCGGAGACAGGAGAGGCCCTGTCTGACATTTGGTTGGGTAGAAGTTAGAGGATTGACGCTGCGGGTCACCGCATAGCCTATGCTGTACCCGCACATATACTCTGATAGAGTCAGTAGACACCTTCGATATAGAAATCCGACCATCTGAGTATGGCGTATGACCCCTCCATTCAGAGCGCATAAAGGCCTATGCATTTGTCCAACCTATCGTGAGTTAAGAGCGTAAAATTTGAATATTGAAAAGACACTCTCAAGAATCCGACTCGGAAGTGGTCCAGCACGGTACTCGGCAGGCTAAACCTAATCGGTTTCCGAATCTCATCCATCAACTAAACGGCAGTGACGTTAACTCCGTCATTAATTTTACATTTTTACTCTCGCTTCCTCAACTTTTCAGGTCGCGTGTCTGCCTCCTGTTTTCATGTTTGGGACTGCTGGCAAAGGCCAAACCATTCTTTTGCCGCCCGGCTGGGGCTTCTCGTGGTCTAGAAAGAAATACCAATGCTTCCCATTCTGCTTCTCCCGATTATCTCTACCCTGATCGGCAGTGCTCCCGCCATACCTATATCAGGCCAACAACCGTTGGGAGACCGGCTTGGGCACTCAAATGGAGATATTTACAGTATTGACAAGCTACCGGGCTCCTCTTCTAGCCGAGGACTCACCGGCCGCTTTCTGCATATAACAGGTGCGGAATCGTTTATCCCAGCAAACGAAGGAAGTAGGCTAATCTTTGTAGATTTACATCCAGACTCGCACTACAAGGCCGGGAGATCCGTGGACGAGGATGATGCATGTCATTGGGGAAAAGGCCCTGCGGGGTACTTTGGATCGGAAGGGAGCGAATGCGACGCGCCGTTAACCCTCATAAACGAAACATTCCGCTGGATAGAGAAGAACCTCAAAGGCCATATCGACTTTGTCATATGGACTGGTGACTCGGCTCGTCATGATAATGATGAGAGAATTCCTCGAACAGAGGAGGAGGTGTCTGCCTTGAACGAGATCATTGCTAGCAAATTCATTGAAACTTTCAAAGAGGGTTCCAGTCACAGCCCCTCTATTCCAATCGTTCCTACGCTGGGAAACAACGACTTCATGCCACACAACATATTCAAAGATGGCCCAAACCGATGGACTAAGACGTTTGTCGATGTATGGGCAAAGTTCATCCCGGAGCATCAGCGCCACACCTTCGTGGAGGGTGGCTGGTTTACGTCGGAGGTGATTCCTAACAAGTTGACAGTAATCAGCTTGAACACAATGTACTTCTTTGACTCCAACTCCGCGGTTGACGGCTGTAACGCCAAATCACAGCCAGGATTTGAACATATGGAGTGGCTGCGTGTGCAACTACAGTTGCTGCGGTCACGCGACATGAAAGCAATCCTGATAGGGCATGTACCCCCGGCGAGGTCTGGATCTAAGCGAAGCTGGGATGAGACGTGTTGGCAGAAATACACTCTTTGGGTCCATCAGTATCGTGACATTATTGTTGGTACTGCCTATGGGCATATGAACATTGACCATTTTATGCTCCAGGACAGCCATAAAGTGGACATCCTTGATGCCAGCAAGAGCTCAGTTTCTTCAGCAGTGCCTGGCGATATGTCTCCCTTGGTCTCTGTTCAGTCCCGCCAAAGTTATCTTGTTGATCTCAGGAAAGATTGGTCTAAAATGCCGTCGCCACCCCCGGGAATGTCAGACCTACATGAATTATTTGAGGATGGTCCCACCGAGCATACCGAAGATGCTGATCCTGAGGCTTTTATGTCAGAGAAAAAGAGACGCAAGTTTCTGAAGAAGATTGGTGGCCCCTGGGCTGAGCGATACAGCGTATCACTGGTATCTCCCAGTGTAGTTCCCAATTACTTCCCATCGCTTCGGGTCGTTGAGTATAACATCTCTGGCTTGGTTGATGCCACGACTTGGGCCGAATCTTTGGATCTAGATATTGCAGTAGCCTCACCATCCTCCGAGATGATAGAAGATGATGCATTTATCGAGAAAAAGAAGAAGGGAAAGAAGAAGAAGAATCAGCCCCACTTCAAGATCCCCAAACCCCCGTCTTCATCTGCTCCACCAGGGCCAGCGTACTCGAACCAACCGTTTACATGGCTGGGTTACACCCAATATTACGCCAACCTAACCAAGATCAACGAGCATATAGCCAACAGCAGGGAAGTTGCGGGTGGCTCCGTCAGTCCTACAGACACCGAAAGTAACGAGGTTCGTGAAACGAGCCATGGCGATGATGCCTTCGTCTATGAGGTTGAATACGATACGAGGGATGATCAAATTTACAAAATGGAGGATCTCACAGTACGCAGTTTCTTTGAATTGGCGACACGGATAGCGAAGGAATCCAAAAAAAAGAATGGTTTCCTGGCAGACAGTACGAATGTCAATGGTATGCCTGCCAGTAAGACTGACACAGTCGATGGTTATGACGACGATGGCTTTGAACACCAAAAGAAAAAGAAAAACACCCAGAGCAAAGTATGGCGGACATTCTTAGAACGCGCGTTTGTCGGATTTCTGGATAGTGATGACCTTGATGACATGTCAGAATGATTCAGTTTTCTTTTACGCGATGGCGTGAATATATATTAGGCTGACAAGGGACTGGTTTTATTTCTTGCCATTTGTTTTAGAATTTCAGAGCCAGTATTGCTACATGTATATATTAGTCTCCCAGCTCAGAATGCTGGCGTTGCGGAATGATGGCTTTCAGATGTGCGGATGCATGCCAAAACCGAGTTGCACTATGACAGTTGATCTGTGTTAGATATAGAGGATAGTAACAAGTGCTAAATTTAGTATTTCACAGCATAACCTTGATTATCTTTATTGTACATGCTATACACAGTGTAGAACAGGTTACAGGGATAAATTAGCGGTCAATAGGGCGGTGGGGCTCTGCCATGTGTTGGAATGGTTAAATTGGCTCCCTGTTTCTATCCTCACATGGAGACTGACTGACTACACTTACAGGACTCAACTGCAGTCCATAGAGTGAGGGGACCAGTAATACTGATTTTCTTTCAAAGAAGACGGTGCCACCTTGTTGCAAGGTGATGTCTCACAGCCCCCCCTCCCCCCCAAACTCATTGATTATGTCGGTGCCACGCTGGCAGATGCCTGCCAACTGTCTGATTGCGCCCCGTCCGAGTTAATTTCTGCCGCCATCCCAATGCTAACAAGCGCGCGGACGCTGAGCTCCAACGCTTGTGGTTTAGTCCATGAGACGGTCTCCGCGACTGAGTGGCCCAGGCACAGAGATCATGCCTTTTCTGAAATGACTGTCCTATAATGATATTATCTGCAGTCTGCAGCACTATCTGCGGCCTAAGTGCTACTTATTTCTGCCGGACGATAGGCGATCCACCGTACTAATCCTATCTCATCAATCGACTGGATTAAAAGCTGCAAGGCAGCGAAAATCAGCACTCGGATTCTGACACGTATCGAACTAAACGATGCGTTGTCCTCCCGCGTCATGCTTGGACTGGGGGACGGCAGCAGTCAAAATTTCGCCACATTTCTATTTCCCCCCGTAATTACTTATGACGATTATCTTCAATTGTGGATGATTTTGTATGGCTGCCCGACTGTTCCCGTGTTTTGGGAATTAACAAAAAGGGACAAAATAAAAAATTTCCCCACAATGGAGGATGGCAAGATCGGATGAGGCGACAGTGAGGTTCAATGCATATGATGGCATTGCAATATTGAGGGAAACAACAGGACATTGTATAGATTAAGACAGAACTCACACAGTATTGCCGCGGCTCCATTCACCTCCATACTGCGTCAGGGGAAATTCCGACCGCACAAGTACTAATTTCCCTTGCATCATCCGGTTCTCACTGCGACCTTACTATTTCAGTTCCTTCCCCCAATGCACGGGCAGCAGTGGCCGGGCTGTCCACTTCTTTTGTCAATTGTGGCTGATACCGCTTTTTGGACCAAATCCACCTTGAACAATCGCAATATCTAAGCCGCTTCCCCTCCATCCAACGACTAATACTAGGGCTTGTTCGTATCTCTTATTGTTTTTGACTGTGCCCCATCCTCATTGCCAGCAACCGCTGGCTGAGAAGCACAGACTACCACCTTACCGCGCCAGTTGCACACGATGCATCGAAAGTGCCTTCTGCCTCACAACCACGAGCTCCTTGCCCTTCAATATTTTGCCATTGACCGTTCCCCCCTTCCGTGCGCCTTGCGTTGCTAATCACTTCCTTATATCAACCGATTGTTTTGATAATTCCAGTTCTTGCATACAGTCCCTGTGATTGAAACGCCGTCGCAGCGTTTTAACATTTTTAATTGGAAACACCGACCTGTCTTTTTAGCTCCCTTTGTGGCATTGTACAGTCTACGCCAATAGTTCTTGCATATTGCGAAAGGTTTCAAGGCCCTCAGTACTTGACCTGTTTGTAACATATACATTTTACGGTTCAATTGGCGGCTTTGTGATTTCAGCGCTTCGCTTTGTCGTTCGGTACTTAATTCCTTGATTCTCCGGTACAATTCAAAAGCGACTCTTGAGGGACAGGCGCAAAGGCAGATTACAGCACACGGTCGATGCAAGCTTTGAAGTGACAGGACGCAAAAGAAATTCTCGCTTAACTGCCGACATTGCATAGCGACAAACCTAAAAAAAAAGAAGTGCATCCGGCTTAAGCGCCTGGCATGGGCAGCGAACTGTACCGCGTTTGAATAAACTGGCTTGATTCTACCATTCGCTTGGGCGCGCCTCCGAGGTAAGATGAAAAGCTCTTTAGCACTCTTTCTGTTCCATATTTTCCACTGCTTTCCACTGTCGCTCTTGAAATATAGTCGAAACGACGAAGGCTTCTATTTCTCCTTGTGCATTTGACAGCTGGTCCTGGTTATCATCTGGAGTACTTGCATTGTTCTGGAGACAATCATTTCGCTAACATGGCACAATATGCAATGCACATGGCTAATGTCTGCGACGGTTTCTCTATCATAGATCCTAATTTTCTGGCTTTGTGGATGGCTTCCTCTGAGGTAGACCAGAAGGCCTTGGGCAATTTCGCGGCCTTAACCAGCCTCGAAAACCCCTTCTTGTCCACAATGCTTTATAGAGTTCTAGGCCTTTCGGTCATGCTTTCGAAGAAGCTACTTCGCGCACGACGATTACGGCGACTGGACCCTAGCCGAGAAACCAAGTCGCTCCAGTTATATCATCATATCTTATGGCTCTCCCGTGAAGGATTACTGATTTTGGAAGAGTTTGTTCTCCCGATGGTTCAGGGATATGTGGAACTGAAGATCCTAGCCTATAAACTCCGAGCATCTTTTTACCACATATTTGTACTTTTCCACAATCAGCCCGCAGTTCACTGTCCGGGTATCACCAGTTTCCCGAGCAATGGTACCAAACTAAACGACGCACCAAAAGCCGAATCACCAGGTAAAGAACCTGGGTCAAGGTTCTCGTTTAGATTGAACGCAGAGTCAATATCAGTCCCTGAACAGCCAGCTTACAGCTCGGGGAACGTCTCTCGGTACACTGCTCTCCAGGTTCCCCCGGGACTTGCACCCGTTCAAACGCCCAAGGCGTCGTCCTTTCTTCTTCCTGCTCTCGACTACACCCCTACGGCGACGGCATGCTTCAATCACGCGTCTCTCTTGGCTGAACGATTTCTTCCTGGCTCCCACCCTTTGCGTCTGTCTATTAAGCTCGAATATGCCGCGTATCTTTACGATTGCCTCCATGATTCCAATGCTTGTCGGCGGGTGGCCAAACAAGCTATAGCGGATGTGTATAAAGCCCAAGAGGCTATGGATGATGAAAGCTTCGCGGATGCCGCTGAGATCGTTGGAATATTGGGAAAGATGGTTAAGCGAGGAGGCAAGACTAGCAGCACTGAAGGTAGCAGTACGGCCTCTGCGACACTTCGGGGCGGGAGTTCGAGGAGTGAAATTGGTGATACACCGGCAACAGTCACGCCAGTGCCACCGGTAACAGCATCACCAAAGACTCACAATGACTTGCCGCCGGCCGTTCCTGACCCTACCATGATGAACCCAATCTAGTATCACTACAAGCTTCTAGTGCTGATGATTAATTGCGACGATGTCGCTACGATTGTATATGATGGCCAAACGTGCTGCAGTGTGGGTGTTTGATGAAATCCAAAGATCTTCCTCAGTTGTGGCACTGGCCTTATCTTTTGTCTTTTTACTTTGTTTGGAGCAACTTTATATACTCTTGCGCTTTCGTTTTTATTGGTTTATAGGCCCTTATACCTCTAATGCGGTAATTCTAGATGGTCGTTTTGTATTATCCAACCTTTCAACGCTAGTAAACAGAAGCTATATGTTGGGATTAACAGTGTTCCTTGCTTGCTTTTCGACTTCGTAGTTACTATGGTTGGTGGCCCTGCAGTGCGACCGACTGTCTGTTGACAGACCGTACCATAAAGACCATCTCGGTCTAAATACTCTGAGTCACTCGATACTTGAAGTTACTCTTCATGATATCATGATCCGTTATTATTGATTGAGTGTAGTGAGCATTACCTGTGTCATGGAGAAAGCCCCTGGAATTCCGACTTTGCTTGAGCAAATCAAAGGCCATCTAATCTAGTATAGCAGCCGAGAAGGAGCCATTCTCCTAACACTCCACGTATGGAATAGCGATGAACTGGGATATATCGGATCAATACACATATACTCTATTTTAATATGCTTGTGTATATCATGTAAACTTGTCCCGTTTCTGGATTTTCAATTTGAGTACTTGGCAACGACAAAGCAAATCCAAGTTTCTCCAGTCCGCCATAATGAATCAAGTTTCCACCTGCATTTTCAATAACCCTTTAACTACTAGTGAACTGGCACTTTCTGAGCGTTTAGACTGTTTGCTAATCGCCCTAACCACACAAGATTCAGTTCGCAGGCATGGATTCCTTCAGCTACCCTTTGACAGCTTTCGACACTGCATCACCACGGGGCTACCCTACCTTTCTTCTCTTCTTCCGCTCTACAAATCCAAAAACAGGACTCCAGGCATTAGAAGATGGGGTGGCTAAGCTAACCCAACGGCTTCCATTCCTTACTGGGGATATCCACCCTTGCTCCTGCGACCAACTTTTTAAAGAACAGATACAGCCCTCACCTCGTACGCTCGACGAAGTGCCAATGTTCCAGTCTCAGTACCAACCTGTACAAATATCCAGTGCCATGAACCAGCTTAGGTCCGCCATTTACACTAACACCCTTTGTCCCATACAGCCTCGGTTGGATGATGCTGAACATCGCCCTGTACTTCGCTTTCAGGGAACCCAATTAAAAGATGGCATTGTCCTCGGCATGTCCTTTTCCCATAATGTGTTTGACGCTGCTGGGGCTGGATATGTGCTGGAATCATTGGCAGCTTGCTGCTACAATACTTCAAGTTGCACGGACGCTCAGATGCCGTTGGCATTGGACCCAGAGATCGATTTGCGGACAAGACAGGTGATCTTGGACGATAGCTCTAGACCATGCAGCACGGACAAGTTCTCGGAGAATTACTTTTGCGAGGTAAGAGAGAACGTGCGCGACGAACTTGCCTCATTGGCAGCAGCTTATCACCACAAGATGTATACTCTATCTGAGAATAAGATCCATATACTGAGGACAACGTGCAATAACCTAAAACCCTGCTTTGGGAAAGTGTCAGCTTCACGAGCTAGATCGATCTCGAGGTCAGATATAGTGAGCGCAGCACTTGCGCTTTGCGTGAAAAGGAGCCGGGCTGCTGCGGCACAGAGTGGACTAGTATCCAACCCGAAGGAGCCAGGGCGATTTGCGCTGGCTGTGAATCTGCGGCCGAGGATCCGGAAAGTCAGCGCTCAAAAGTACTTCGGTAGCTTTATGACCACTGTGCAGATTAGTTCAATACAGAAGGATGTATACCCCGGAGGGGGTTTTTTTGATTACAAGGGATTTGACCTACTGCATCTCACAATGTTTGCCTTAACCCTCCGTCAGAAGATCAGTGCTGTTACCCCTGAATATATTCGCGAGTTGGGCTCTCATTTGAGACAGCAGGCGGGTATCCAGCTTACCACTAGGCTTGCAGATTGCGGTGTGACTGATATGAGACCGCTGAAAATGTACAGCCTCAACTTTGGGGGGCAATTGGGTTTCATTGATTACCTGTGGCTCCAGTTGGAGCCCGTCGATGGAACGTGTGTCATTATGCCAACTCGTTTCAAAGACTCTGATAATCACTATGGGAGCAAGGTGCAGGGTTTATGGGATATCTTGATCACATTGAAGCCGAACGTTCTTGATGCTTTGGAGAAGGACCCGCTGTTCAGCTTTTTGGTGGAGAAGAAGGAACAGCTGATCGGGTCCAATTCAGACACTGGTGTACATGCTCGCTTATAATAGTGTTTCATGCTCCAATACCAAGCATTACTGTAATTGTGGAGACTACCTCTAGTCAAAGCAGCAGGTTTCTCTTCTTGGCCGAGTGAATGCTTATTTGCAAGTCTGTTGGCCATATAAGTTTGAGGGTCCTTTGCTGTCATTCATGCTACTGTCGTATAGTAAGTGTACCAATGTGTGATACAAGGGCTAAAGATAGCATTGTGGAAAGTTGGATGCCCGGAGTAAAGAGGAGACATGGTTCAAACAAAGAAACTAGAAGCCGATGTAGTACTGGGCGCAGTAGTGAGTGGATGATGAGTACATTTGGATCATGAACCGAGGAAGAAGAACCTGTCTATCGTGTTGCAACATGAGGCAGCATCTGGGTCGCCTCAGGCAGACGACGCTAACCGATGCTACGGTAAAATACCCAGGGCGGTACGGCGGCATAAGGAACAAGAAAAAAAAGAAAAAAAGCCTCAATCAGGGAAAGACACCGTGCAGATCGGCCACAGGACTAGTGAAAAGGCTATTGACTTCGTGCCAATCGAACTGCCAAAACGCCTCTGCCAAAAATAATCACCGGTCATACTTGCATGCTTAGGGGGTTGGATGCTGTTCTGATTCGACTTCATTGTTGTTTTCCCTCCTCACTCAACCTCTTCTCTCCCAGCTTGTTCCCCACGGGCACTCCTCCTTGGCCTCCATCGACTTGGCAACATCCGCTTGCGACCGGACGTTACGTTGCGTCGACCACGTCCTTTACGTCATTCAGTAGCGATCGAATCCTGCAAAACTTCCCCCGACATAGAATAAACATTCCGTGCCGATTTAAAGCCCTATCCTCCTCTCCCCATCTGGTGTCCACCCCACCATTTGCGTGTTGGGCCTATCTCGTTGCCGGGGCTTCATTTCCCAAGTCACTTTCGCGAGCTACCGACCGACCGGCCGACTGACCCCCGACACAAGGCAAAAAAAAGAAAAGAAAACGGGAAGATAAAAAAAAGAGGCAGCAACCGAGCAGAGAGATAAGTGCGCGTGGGAAAATCAATGCAAAACTAGAGGCTATTCCGCATATACCGATCGGTTCTTGATTTTATTTTCAGCTTATTCGTCAATTCCGTATGGCAATGAAGTTGCCTGGTCCCGAACGCTCTTCAAGCAAACAGGAATTCTGTTGACTCTGGAAATTCGCCTTCTCGAGGATTGCCAGCGTGGACGAGAGGTCTATGAACGTTGTATAATGCGGTCAGGCTTCCACAAACCTGTTGCCTTCCCTTTTCTTGCTCTTCTTGTTTTCTCATTGCTCAGCTTGGTGTCCTTGGCAAAAGAGTGGGACTTCTATAATCTGCGCTTCGGGTATATTGGTTACCATCATAACGATGCTCGGCGTAAGTGTCTTTTGTTCCGTTGTGATTCATTGGCTATAACATTCAGCTCATATTGAGTGGAACAGAGCCTTCCCGTTTTAGAGATGGCCCAGTCGACGTCCGGTCGAGGATACGGACGACTGGCAGTCAGTGTAAGTCGTGGACAATAAACGGTTACTGCCTGCCAGATCTGGACCGTGTTCATCGCCCGCGGCGCTCCGTGCCAGACACTCCACGCAGCTCGTTCGAGGCTGCTACTGTCTTTGACACCGATTCGATAGCATACCTTGCCGAAGAACCATCGACTTTCGCGCGAGGTGTACGCGTTTTCAAGTCGCTTTTCACAACACAGACGGATGATAGTCAGATATCTGACCCTCTTGCCACGGGGAGCGCCTCTTCTGTGGCCTCAGCACCTAGCTCTCTCCCCTCGAATGTATCCAACTTAGCTGTTATCGGTGCCTCTCCTACCACTGAAGCACACCTTCCTAGGTCGTACAGCAGCAATGTCACGGCCACGGCGAAAAAAATTACTTCGCAAACGCCCCAGTATCCTCTTTCTTATTTACGTGGATTATGGCAGCAGGCCTGTCATGCTACGAGGGTCTATCTTGGGAACTGGACTGTTCCGCATATTTTTCGAAGAGAACAAATACCACCCGGTTCTGAAGCGATCAACGAAGAGACATTGCAATTGTCAGGACCAACTGATCAACACATTGAAGAACAGGTTACACCCAAGGTGCTCCCATCGAACAGCAGCAATGCTGCACTTTCGACCTCGTCACCTACATCTCCGCAATCGCCTGCTAAGTCAACCGATATCCCTGATCTACCTGTGGTAACTGAAGAGCGGCCCAAGGGCGTTGGTCATGGACCGAATTCACAGCCTGCACGTGGCAGTTGCATGGCTATTGTCATAGGCCTAGTTGTCGGTGTCATGTGGTTCTGAGTAATCATTGCGCGCCCCAACACTTTAGCCGGTATCGGCCAATTTATATGCATCTCTGCTATTGATGCGGCTTATACAGCAGTATAATAGCAGTGCCCAATGCTCTCAACTACCGCAATGATTCAAAATGATGAACAGGCAGTATTGGCATGGGGTTTTATTTTCTTTGATTGTCGTATAATTTGGCATCCACTGTTTACGGAATACGGACCTGGCGTTTGTTTATGTACGTTTTTCCCCCTTTTCGGTCGGTGTGCAACTGGCTGCTGGTAAATCGTTTGTTCGTCCTTGTGGACTACTAATTTCCCTGTCACGGTGCACGGGGCTGGTTTTGATTCTCTGCAGCAATATTGGCTTATTTTATGTATGGACAACTTCAGCTGTTTTGTGTATATCCCTCGGCCTGGGATGCCATGTTTGATGTCTTACGGGATTTGATCGTTTGGTTGATAGATATGACCTGGATAGCTCTCTGATAGTCGTCCGCAGGCTGTACTTTATACCTATGGTTGCCGATTGGCAACTTGGGACTGGCCTAATGGATGGTCTTGTACAGTACCTAATAATATTTAATCGTTGATGACCAATTTCTGTACTCGACCGGTAGCGAGGTCTTCATAAGCAGTAACCTCTTTAATGTCAATAGGCGCTAACTGCTCAGTCGCCGGGATCCCGGCACGCCGTCTCGTTATGATACATAGCAAGGAAGTCTACTCTGTAACTTGGTAGGATAGGTCATAGATTATTTTGGAGTTGATCTGCATTGTTTACCCGGAATTTGATAGCCCAGCGCACGGACCATATATAAGCATCGCCTTCCCGTGACCAGGGTTCCATTACCTTTTTCACCTCTCTGTCTGTTCACCATCTCTCATGCCCCATTACCAGCGTCATCCGTATATATTGACCATCATACGCGCTGCTGCCTAATTGTCTTGAGTTTATATCATAGCAGTGTGAACGCTAATATTATCTGCCTGAGTTGACTAGACGCGCCTTGCTCCATGTGACCTGGGTCTAAGCTTCCAATATAGAGTTGGGAAACCTCACATCGCATTGTTCACATACTATCTAAGTAATCTGCTATATAACTGAGTATTCAAACAAGCTACCCGTTCGTGAATGAGGGAATTTAGGAATTGTATTGATACTGAGCGCTGAATGGCAGGGTTTCAAGTGATATAGTACAATCTCCAAGCGCCTGCAGGATGCGCAACGTGAAAAGACTCCCTGGTACTCCTTGTTGTGTATGTCGTCTCAAGAAGAGAGGATGCGACAGACAGAAACCAAGTATGCTTTCGTTAAATCTCACTGCATAAATTCCTTACCCTTCCACTTGCGCCCCTACGCTGCGCGACAAAATCACTAAGTACTGTATATAGTATGCGGAGGATGTCGGCAAAAGGGCCAGTCACATCAATGCTCCTATAGACCCCAAGATATGCCCCCTACGTATGACTCAAATCTGATCTGATTGAATCCTGCTAAGGTCGGTCGCAGTCACCACCAGAGACGATGTATGACTACCCAGGTGTTCTCTGAGCTAGAGGCTGTTATTATTTCTACTCCAAGCAATGAGCCACAGCTGCGAGGCCATGGAGTGCGCCGGTCGTTTGATATTACACAAGACGACGTGATTGAGGTCTCCTCTGTGGATTCAGATCAAAGCTACCACACCGCTGTTCTGTCCCAGGGGGAAGGCTTCCATCTCGATGATGGTGGTGCGCAGGCCTCGCAAATGATGAGGTTGCAAAGAGCTGTTGAGGAGCGAACGGGCAGAGTCAAGGACGAAGACCTAACAGGCGACATCCCTCTTTTAGCTCAAATTCCCATGTTCACAAACGGAGTCATGCAGCTGCCTGCAGTCTCCAGATCGAATGATGAGGACCCACCGGTGCACTTGTCACAGGAAATGGCTGATCATCTTGTTCTCTCTTACTTAACGAGAGAATATGCAAACTTGCCAATCCTGGACCTGTTACAGTTTCAGTCAACCTACGAGACCGCCAGAACTGAACAGGATATAGCCGCAGGCCCCAGTAGTTTCCATGGTATTTTGAATACCATTTTCGGTTTATCTGGCTTGAGTACAAACGATGTGAATGACGAAGACGTGACGAGTTTCTTCAATCGTGGTCAGAGGATGTCCAGGGATATGGAGAACAGCGGGTCTCTATGTGAGCGTATTCAATCGTATATTCTACAAAGCCAGTATTTATATGCGACTGGCAACTCAAGATCGGCATGGATGTTCATTGGGTTTGCCATCCGCACGGCGCAGGTTCTGGGCCTGCACTTCAAAACAGGGGGGCATGATACCCGAGGAAGACGGGATCGCGAACTTGCTCGGCGACTCTGGCATAGTGCCATGATCCTGGAACGGATGATTGCGCTACAACTAGGGCTTCCACCGCAAACCTCTAATCCATTGAAGGTGCCGTTACCGACGCATTGGGATACAGACTACACCGATTTTATATCCGGGGGAAGTTCCGCCATCACGGCAGATCGTCCATCCTTAATAGAGTTCTTGACAGCCTGTGCTAGGCTGTATAGTCACGTCGAGGATATTTTAGCATGGGAGGATGAACTGAGAATGCAGCCGAATAGTTGTGCTGCGAAGAAGCTACTTTCTTATGACTTCAAGATATTCTTGAAGGTGGACACTCTTTTATACGATTGGCAGGCATCTCTGCCATCGTATCTGCAAAACAATGCCGCGGACGGTATATGGAATGATCCGGTTGTGTGTCGACAGCGGAATGTTCTCCGAGCACGCTACCTGTATGTTCGTCTTCGACTTTATCGGCCTCTGCTGGCCTTGGGACTGGCACTGTCCACCAAATGCAATTGTCGACCCGAAGGTCGCCCACATATTACCAAAGAGGAGCTTAGCTCGTCCACCTCCCCTGTGGTTTTCGGCATGGTACGCGACGCCTCAATCAAGAGCATGGCGGTTGCCTTGGAACTGATTAACCTTATCCGTACGCACGAAGATGGGCCGCTCGATGGCCGGCAAGACCAAGGCCGCTATAATCTCATTTCTCCATATTGGGAGAACATCGATTATACTTACGCCTGTGGGACGGTCTTTCTTGCAGCTCGTCTAAGTAGCTTTACCAACTTCAATGACAACAATTCTGGTGGAATCAATGAAGGGGAGGTAGAGACGTCTTTGACGCAAGCTATCGATATGTTGGGCCATTACCACAGTATTAGACCAAATGGCAAGGTGGCGCGTATAGCACAGCTGTGCTGCAACACATTAAAGAATCTCTCAGACGTCATCAAAAAGCCTGGCATTGCTAACCCATCAATCGGCGCATCTGCGGCCTTGACTGAAAACACTCGAAATCGGCTCCTGGGTAGGACGGAGAACAGTAGTCCTGCCCTTGACAGGAACCGGAGGCAGTTGGTAGAGGACACGCTCGCATATTATGGATGGATTGAGAGTCTGCCTATAGATTTGGCTGGTCCACTGGAATGAGGCTTTGAAACCCTTGCATTGTACTAAACAAAACATTATCCTTATTTCTATGACGATTAGAAGTTACTTTATAATCTTGTTTCGATCAACACCTTCACTAGTAACAGATACCTTGATTTATCTAGCCATTCCATGGACCTTTACTAACGGCTAACTGGCCACGATGCCCATATCCTTTTGCCGTTGTACAAAGGAGGTCATCGTGTGCCGACATCGGCGTGCGACACCTTCCCAGTCATTGGAGAAGAACGAAGTGCGTCAATGACGGGATTGACTGGGATTATCACGGAGTTTGGACACATTGAGGAGGCTGACGATCCTTTGCTCATGGTTTTCAGGGCTGAGATAAGGGATCACTCGGAAATGTATTCCGGACGTCACCAGGTGGAACGACTCTTCATACCTCGCCCGTAATACTGAGAAATATTTGAAATGGAGGGTATAGGCGGTTGGATGGAGATATGACTCAATTAGCAATATGCAGTCTAGATTTCATGATTTCGCCTTCTCGGCCTCGTCGACCAACGTTTCGACTTCTTGCTCAGTGAACCGATGGAACAGTTTCTTTGGATCCGAGAGATCGGCTTCTCCGTTTTCCAATTGACCCTTGACAGACTGGACGTGTAAGACGGGGACGTCGAACTCATAAACATCCTTCCAGGGCTTGTTGGTAGGGACCATAATATCCAATTCAGAGTATTCGAAGGGCCGCCGCTTGTGTAATTGAGTTACGGCGTGTTTTGCCGTGTCGCACAGTCCGCAGCCGACACGAGTGAAGAGCGTAACACGAACCGCCTGGGAGAGACGGGCGGCGGTAGGAAACATGGTGAAAGAATTTTTTTTTTTTCTTTCTTTCTTCTTCTTCTTCTTCTTCTTTTTTTTAAAAAAAAAAATAATAATAATAATAATAAACGAATGGGGCTTGAAAGGCTGACAAGGTTGTGGTGGTGGTTGAAGGCCGCGAACGGGCGATGGGGGATCGGGTGGTGATGTATAGAGGTGGTTATCGTGCTCTCTCCACGCTGATAGAATGGAACCTTCGAGCTTCTCCAGACTAAGCCCCTTCGGGCCACTTTGGGCGGCAGCTGCGGCGGCAGTATTTCTGCATGCGATTTGCCCCCGCCAGCCAAGTTCTTGTCTCATAGACCGAAGTGATTTCTACTGTTGATCGTCTAGTATACATCTTGTTGGGACGAGAAGTGCATTGTCCTTTCCTGATCAAAAAAATGTCCAAGTGCGTCCACAAGGGTTGCGGAAAGGTCTTCACCGATCCCGAAGAGCCATGCGTCTATCATCCTGGACCACCGGTCTTTCATGAAGGTCAAAAGGGTAAGTTTAAGGACCTTGGTGTCTACGGTGGCCCCTGGGATTCGTTGCATGACGCCGCCGTCCTTCCCTGCGGTGCGATCCACCAACGTTAACCCTCCCGTTATTTACAGGCTGGAAATGTTGCAAGCCCCGCGTTCTCACCTTCGATGAATTCCTCGAAATCCCACCTTGTACTACCGGCAAGCATTCGACTGTCGACGATACCCCAGTCGAACCCCCCAAGAACGCAAACTCAGCTGCAGCTGAACTAGTCGCACCTCAGCCGGTAACTGCACCTGTCGCAGATAGCGGGGTACCACGGCCGACATACTCGCCCGCCATTGCCCCTCCGTCGAACGCAGCTACGCCCGCCCCCGAAGAATCAGAGTCCGATGATCCATCTCTTGAGATCCCAGCGAATGCCACATGCCGTCGGAAGGGATGCGGTGCAAACTACAACTCGTCCGTGTTGCGGGAGGAGGAGAAATGTGTCCATCACCCTGGACAGCCAATTTTCCATGAGGGTAGCAAAGGATGGTCATGCTGCAAGAAGAGAGTTCTGGATTTCGACGATTTCCTGAAGATCGAAGGCTGCAAGGAGAAAAAGAAGCATCTTTTTGTCGGACAGGGCAAGCCGGCAGGTGAAGAGAAGGTTGAGAGTGTCAGGTGAGTGAACCCTACCTTTCGTCCTACGAATGGCGGTACGTCTTTTTGGAGCCTTGTCTTAACCTCCTCTACCTTGTACAGAAACGACTTTTACCAAACCCCACACTCGGTCAATGTCTCGTTGTACCTTAAGAAGATCGACAAGAACCAGGCTAAGGTCGAGTTCTCTGAGAAGTCGATCGATCTGGATCTCCCCACTACCGATAACAAGCGGTACAAAGATACATATCAGCTATTTGCGCCGATTGACCCCGCAAAATGCCAGTTCAAGGTGCTGGGTACTAAACTGGAATTGACGCTGGTAAAGGCTGACGGGACGAGCTGGCCAGTCTTGCGCAGCGATGATAAATGGAGTGGTGAGAGGATTCAAATTGGACAGGCCGGACGGGCCTGAGGTTACTGTATAGCATAAATGAGACACGGAAAACACATATCTTGCACTAACACGGTTGAAAATGGTGTCTGCTAAGCGTCAGAAGCCTACATTCACTCCACATCACCAAGAAGTTGTATGCTAGCACTAGTCTAGGCTTGGTTATATTAGCATATGACCTACTATGCTAATCGCTCTTCAGCATGAGAGGGGAGCATCTCATTATGGGGATTGGAAGGTGCTGGTAGGGTTGATCGAGGCATGGAAGTCGACGCTGCTTCTTGTTTGGGAAAAGCATAGGCTATTAAAAGTGAGAGTGAAAGCCATAAAAGTTTCACAATGCAACACTCATTTGACAAGCATCCTGGCTTAACTTGTCCAAAGTCAAGATAATGCACAGCAGATTTGCTCACATGCTTGAGGCATAAAGCATCTCCAGGGCGTGTTCTCATGACATTCTCTCATGGAGGCTATGGATGCTACCTTGTAGCACATTGATAATGAACAAGTATATCAGGCATAGCCAATGACAGACGTAGTCAAGCAATCAGCAGGCCAACTACTACCCATCCATGACGACACTTCAATCGGGGCAAGCTTTCTAACTATTGCGGACTTGAAATAGCCAGATACGCGTGGTATGCTTGCAGATTGATGCACCTAGTACACATCCCATCCCAGGATCCAGCATATAGACCCTGAGAACAAGAAATTGCCTGCTCGGCATCATTATTGCTACAAGATGGATTAATATCCAACTATGATTGTCATAGTACAGATATTATTTTAATAATTGGAATTTCGCGCCTCCTCCACAGCTCATGCGCCTGGGGCTCTTATCTTGCGAAAAGAATCCCTAGCTAAGCCATAATTTGAAAAAGGAACACGCATTATACTCTTCGAAGCCGGGAACGGAAGGAAACCCATTGAGCAAAATCCCACACGGATAACCCTCAGCAAGTCATACATTGTATGAAGCTCCGGTATTGATTTACATATGGTCAATGTAAACCTCTACTGATGATGAAGATAAAAAAGAAAAGAAAAAAAAGGGAAAATTGGCAGCACCAACGAAGGCCTTTTGTAGTCTGCCGGGAGTGGAGCCACTAGGACACCTTTGGGACTAGCTAATTACCGAGAACAGTAGCTCTTAGGGCTTAGGGTCTACGAGTCATGCGAGATCATGTGATCGGGTGTATGATGCCTCAGGCGGATGCCAAGCCTCGTCGGTCACATGGTTGAGAATCACATGCAAAGTGGTTGAGTGAGCGGTGGCCAAAGGGGTTAGAGTAATACGGTCGTTGTACCCTCCGTACCTTACACGATAACACGGTTCCCATACCTGTCAACCATCCCTTGCTTTAACTTCCTCCTTTTAACGGTCAAGGAATGCGAACCATATTTCTCCGGAAGTGCTGATCATAGGCCAGTTTTGAGTGCTGACAATCGTTGGTGCTACCCCACAGAAAAATCACATAGGGCGATCGAGTTGTATAAGAATAGGTGCATACGTAGACTTCGTCCCTCGAATTTCGTCATGGGAGCGGCGAATGAAGGGGGCAATTTCGAATTTACAGCCTGGTAAGGAAACGAGGGGGCAACGGTGCTCGTTGCCTGAGGGGCCTCAGGCTGCCTAGCTTCCAATCATGGCCATCCAAGCACGAGACCAATATTCTTCGTCTCCTCCTTCTCCTCCTCTCACTCCGGCTTAATACTTCTCCCCCTTTTTCCTTCTGGCTTGTGTTCCCTGAGTATTGATTGCCGGTCAATTTAATACTCTTTGAAATTACGTATATCGTTATCGTTTGCGATCCTTATCGCTCAACTAATAATAGGGGAAGTCCTCATAGAACGGACCAAAAAAAAAAAGTGTCACAGGCGCTGTCCAGGTTAGTTTATACTCCAATGCTTTGTACTTTTCCCTCCTTTCGCCTTATTATTACTGTCGCTGCGCACAACTTAACATACCTTTCTTGCGAGATTTGCTGACATTCTGGAAACTAGCACTGTTGTAGTTGACCGCTTCTCCTCCATACGGCATCTCGCCCCTCACCCCTTAATAAACGTCCATGATGGGTTCGACATCTGAGCCAAACGGTTGTCCTCTCACAGCACTGCGCTACATTGCACAGTCATACAATCATGCCGACTCTGAAGCGTCTGCGCTGAGGTTGGTTTTGACCTTAAACCCTCACTGGGATGGTCCGGCCAACAACATCGAGTTCGTGCGCTTCACGGACGGTATCACTAATACTGTGTGTTCCGAGCCTGCTATACAGAAGCAGCTAGAGACCAACCTATCAAATCCATGGACTAACTGGCTCCCAGCTTCTCAAAATTATAAATCGCAAGCCTGGCTTGACCGAAGAACAAATAGACAACGAAGCTGTACTGATGAGAGCGTACGGTAACCACACAGAGATTCTTATAGACCGCGAAAGTAAGACAGACTCGGGACATACGCCCTTTCTCCTTGCCCATTGCGACAATACTGAGTAGATGTCTATAGGAGAAATGAAGTCCCACGCCCTACTTGCCAGCTACGGCCTAGCCCCTTCACTTTTGGCTCGCTTCCAGAACGGCCTGCTCTATAGGTTCATTCGTGGACGCCCCGCCACTCATGAAGATCTGGTGACGGCTTCCATTTGGCGTGGCGTTGCTAGACGGCTTGGACAATGGCATGCAGTCCTTCCCGTTCGCGGAGCTGCGGCCCCTGCCCAGTCTGAAGTGGAAAATGCTTTTCTGAACTCAGTAGATGTCCATCCGTCCAAACAGGACATTGACTTCCCTCTGATCAAGCCAAGACGATCGGGGCCCAACATGTGGGCTGTTCTCCAGAAATGGATCCTTGCTCTGCCTTCTGCTACGGATGAGCAGCGCAAGCGCAGACTTGGCCTTCAGAAGGAGCTTGAATGGGCTGTCAGTGAACTCGACGACGGCAAGGGCATCGGGGAAGACGGGGTACGTAGATATCACATTCCATTCTTGTGCCATAAGGATTCCGGCCAACAATTAACCCCCTCGGTAGTTGGTGTTTGCCCACTGCGACCTTCTCTGCGCCAATGTCATAGCTGTACCATCCGCAGATGCCCCTGTCACATCCGCGGGCGAGCCCACAGCGACTGTGCAGTTTATCGACTATGAATATGCCACTCCATCCCCAGCCGCGTTCGACATCGCCAACCATTTCGCTGAATGGGGTGGCTATGACTGTGACTACAACATGATGCCCACACGTGCTGTTCGGCGCCAGTTCTTGACGGAGTATGTCAGGAGCTATACCCAGCACAAGGGCCTTCCTGAGTTGTCTCAGAAGGAGATCATCGATCGACTTTATGAGGATGTTGACCGCTTCCGCGGCATTCCCGGATTGTACTGGTCCGTTCTTCCTTTCAATTCCAGTATCCATGGCCCGGTGCTAATATTAAATAGGGGTATTTGGGCCCTCATCCAAGCCCAAATCTCGCAAATCGATTTCGATTATGCTTCATATGCCGAAACCCGCCTCGGCGAATACTATGCCTGGCGACGAGAGCTCGACGGCGGCCGCGCCAAAGCCAACGAAGAAATGCCCCTGCGCGAGCGGCGATGGGCTCAAGAAGTCTAAATCAACCTCTCCATCTACCAACACGACAGAACCTCACATCTTACATCATCAGCGTATATAGATTTTACCTTCTTGACCACAAGCGTGCTTGCATGAATTGGGGGACTTTTTTGCTGTCATTTGATCGGGGTTTCAACATTATTCCCTAGAGCATGTGGCAGGCAGCAGCGACAAAAGGACACAAAACCAGGACAGGGATGCATTTCAGGGAACAAAGCAATGTATACAAAAGGATGGTATGGAAAGGGCTTTGTCTTCAACGACTGTACTGGTGTTCTTGGGACTTTTCATGGGCGTGTTAGTGGGCTGCCTTTTTTCACTTTTCCTTACTTCTTGAGGTATGGGTTTAATCATGTTTGTGTTCGTGTCTATGGCATTGACAGAAATTAAGTTTTGTAATTTCCTGGGTTTCAAGGCATCTGTTTCTCTATCTTAGCTGATTCCACGCCCATATAAGCAAGGAATTCGTTCAGTCAGAATACCTGTTCCCTTTCCTTTCCTCGTGCTATGTTCAGTCTTGCTTGTAGCCTGCTCGTTCGGGAATGGCAATCAATTAGTTATACTCTGTAATTAATAACATAATGGTTTGCAGGCAATGTCCAACCACACTACACATGCAAAGCCGATAAACTGCCCCAGAAATTCTGCACTTAAGAGATACGGTAGAAAGAAAAGGTACTTACATCTGAATGTAGCCCTGAGCCATTGCTCTGCTCACGATGAGCATCTCACCTAAAGAACCTCAACTTGAAAGAAAGGGAGCGTCGTTGACGTATCTAATCCAAGGCATCGCAACCATGGTTCTAAGCTAGCTAGTCGACTATCACGTAGAATCAGACGATCCACCGCAAGAAACACACCCAGGGGCTCCACTACACACCGGACAGACATCTTGATACTCCTCGGCCTGGGCATAGTGCCAATCACAGGAATACAATGTGTGCTTCCTTCGCCCCCAGCCAACTTTGATGTCAAAATGCCCACTGAACGTCCGAGCGGCCCAAGACCCCTCTTGGTCATTCACATCTGCATCTCCGTGGGAGATAACTTCCCAGTCAGTCTCGTCAGTGGCCCTGCTTTTCGCGCGGTGGTTGTGTGCTTGGTCCGAGGTCTGGGTTTGCACTGTAGTATTGTTACCTGTAGATCTTAGCATTGGTGGTTACTTAAATGAGAGGCATAATGTAGTAGAGTGCTGTCTGGTATGTACCTGCTAAGGCCTGGCTTTCTGGTCTGTTCGTATTGGTGCCTGGGCTCGTAGAAAGTTGGCTTGTTTGTTTTGTTGGGATTGACATGTCTCTTCGAGCTTTCTACCGGGTATTTTTATATAGACGTGTGTCGGAAGGTAGAGGAATTAGCAACAACACATGAAAGATAGAACAGGGAGTATAAATTTCTCTTGATTTATTGGGCTAGT